AGAGGTAGGTGGCTGATTACAAAAGGTGAAGAGCGAGAGACACCTTGGCAGAACAGATTTGTAAAATGCACTCAATAATAACAAACAATAATCAAATAGCGGCTGCTGCTAAGGGAGGGCAGGGCCCTCCTGTGAATTCCTGGAATTCCTCCTAAAGGAGCCACTAGACGGCAGTGTAATTGTTAGGCAGTGTAATTGTTAGGCAGTGTAATTGTTATGCAGTGGCTGCTGCTAGGCTTGTGGTTCTTCAGTCTATGGCATGACTCATGAGGAAGACTTCAGTCTGTGGCATGGCTTCCCTGTGCCATGAGAAGTTATGTGGACTGTTGGCACACACTCCAGTGGTTGGTGGGACAACGGGTCGTGGCCAGGAAAATCCGTTGCCACTCATGAGCCAGACCCACTTCTGGGGGGCAGTGAAATGAGCCCACTGAAGGTGATGGCATTGTCCAGCCAGCCATGCAATCATAGCACAGATTATCCTCAGGTCTTGTCTACCACCTGTGCTTGGGGCATGGGGAGCTTCACCTCCAAGAATTTGTACCCACAAGCAACATCCCCTGAGAGCTACATGCTGGAGATCTACCTGACCTCTACCTAATACTGTTTTTTGGGCACAAGCCTTGTTTTGGATAATTCTGGGATTCTGCTGTAAATGCTTGCCCTGGCAGTATTATGCATCACCACCTACAGGTCTTGGACCACCAGACTGGGCTCTCTCCCCCATTCCAGCAGCCAGTAGGAGCTGGGCTCTCATTGCTTTGGGTCACAGAGATTATTCTGGGACTCGGGTGGGAATAATGTTTTCTCTAGTGACATTGGACTCACGTGACCTGCATCCTAAATCACTTCTAGTAGGAGGCTCCAGCAGCAGCTGCCTGTTGGGAAAGGAAGAATTCCTCACCAAAATGATGGGAAGTAAGTGATTTCAGATAGAGCTCCAAGTGGACAAGATTGCCCTGGGATGTGCTCTGTAGCCTCCCTTCAGCTCCCCTATTAGCGAAAGACAGATTGTTGAGCTGTCCTCCAGGTCCCTCATACCTTCTCTAGCAATGCTACTCACCCCTCTAAGAGAGCATCCCAACATCTTACAAGGCTGTGCATCTCCCCCAGCACAGTCTGGAAAACCCCCCAGGGGGAGGGCCCTATGCAGGATGCACAGCAGAATTTGGATGGCTCACAGAATTCATTTTGCTGTATCTACTTCTAGTAAGTGCCACAGGCCACTGCAGTGGAATTGCTGCTTGTGGAGGACCAAACTAGACTCCACCTGGGAGGTGCTGAGGTGTTGGCTGTGCTACACTGTACTGGTGGTAAGAAAGGCTGGTTTTAAATGAAGAACTGTGAGTTAGTGTGAGCTATCCCATGTGCTTAGTTAAGGGTAATTTAACCTCTGTATCCTTGCAAAGGAGCAGGAGACCTGTAAGGGTGAACTCTGGGACATGCAAAACTGTTATGCTCCACTGACTTGGAACAGCATTGATCAGTTTGTGCTCGCTGCAGATCTGGTGGGGAAACTTTAAGTACAGCAGATTGATTGCTACCAGGGGATAAATTCCCCATAGCCGGTTGGATTCAAGCACTGAAGTACTGACGTATTGATCTATTTATGTTGATTTATTAGTAATAGTCCTGTACCCCAATTTCTCTTGTGTGGTTATACAAATAAAAAAAACCCCATGCTATTGCTAGCATAACTGATTTCTTTCAGAGGATATATAGGGGACACACCTCTATATAAAGCACCATATTGTGAGCGTATGCTGCAATCTATAGTAGACAGGGAAATAAAAGTCATCACAGGCAAGCATGTTATCATGCAAGCAGCTCCAGTATGCTGGCTCACAGGCTTTAGTCTGAGCTTCATCTACTAATCTTGCTTACCTTGGAGATGGTCCCAGGAAGTCTCAAAAGTTTAAATGAGCTCCCCAGGTGGGAAGACTTGTGGTAGGATATCATCCCACAATCTCTGGGCTCTGCTCGACAGCAACAGACTCATCCAGGTACCTCATATGGTGTACTTTTTCTTTGTTTTTTTTCCTAATTTCCTATTGAAAAAGTTGCTTACATATTAAGTGGAAAAAAAAAACCAAAACAAAACAAAACTGTGATGGCTTAGATTGGTTTCTCTCCCTTATTCCAGATCTGTTATGCTCCTTGTTTATTGGCATCATGCTGTAACCAGCTGAGCTAAACTCAGTTTTTCCAGAGCTCTCCAGCTGTGCAGAAGGTGGGAGAGACAAAGAGATGCTGGCTCTTTACCCACCACAGTCTGAGGCCAATATGATAATTTAAATGGAAATCTTTGTTTTAAGCCAAGCAATGAGTAGTTGAAAAAGTGGAATGCATCTACTTCAGGGATTCACCTGCAGCATAATTTGGATAGTGGGGCTGCTGGGGTGTTAAATCATTCCCACATGAACCACCACCATTCAGCTGGAAGAAGCCCCAGGCATACACCATGCATCAGATCCAAGTGGTGCACATTTGTATCACTTTATTTGCAGCTAATGAAATGGCTAGAAACATTTATTGCATATAAATTATATATGAGCACCCATCATACAAATAAACTCTTTCCAGTCTCAGCTTTCCATTTCCTCCTTAATCAGAAAGTCTATTATATATGGGACAGATTCAGGAGTCTCTACTGGTTCTTATCCCTTGGGCCTGTTTAGATTAACTTATGAGGTGAACTACTCTCCAGATCTCTACAAAACCCATGCCCACCTTTAGAGCATGCACCTATTTTAATGTATGAAGTGTCAGGGGAAGAAGAGAAGTTTCTCTCCAGCTCTAGTCTAGATTTAACCATCTTTCACTTGGAAAATCTGGTAGATTCCCCATAGGCTGAGATGAAATAATAGTGAAAACCATAAGCAATCTGACACTTGTAATTACAGGCCTATGAGCTCCTTATTGACCTCAGACAGAATAAGGAAATAGCACGTACTAGGATAATTTAAAAACAAGAGAAAAGTTCTAGTTAACCCTAAGCCTAACAGTGTGTTTATGGAAAAGAATCTATAAGACTGCTTGGGAACTTTTGGAGATGTAAGTTATAGACTTAGGTTATGGATTTGGCTGACAAAAGTAAAAATTGTTGAACAAATAGCTCTCCAGCAAGGAAACTGATACGGTCTTATACTGTGTTTTGATTTTTAAAATACTGGGATGATACCAAATTACCACATTTTGTAGTAATCGGACTGAGAATTGACTAGGTAGCAAGTGTCAAAATATTAAAGTTGATACAAGCATGTAAGGGGGGTTTTTGAAACAGTCCAATGGTGAATTACTCCACCCAGGCCACACTTTTGATCTGGCCGTGCTGTTTGTGGAAGAAGTGACTCTGGTGAAGGACTGACTCACAGCAGAGCAGCAGCTGAGTGTGAGCTCCCAGTGCAGTCAGAAAGGCTAATTCCATTCTCCCATATATAAGCAGGGAATGTGGAACAGGTGTAATGAGATTATATTGCAGGAGATTATGTTGTGTCTGCTAATTCCATGGGGCTGATAACTGGTGTGAAAGAATTCCCAGTTTTGACAGCTATGATTCAACAAGGAAGGGAACAAGTTGGAGAGGCTTCCTGGCAGAGCTTTAAGGCCTGTTAAGGAGTTGGAAGACATTTTATGAGAGAGAAGCATTTAGGACCAATATGATCAAAGCCTTAGATTATGTATGTAGCATTGCATTTTTGCTCCTCTGATTGTCACACTGCCTAACAATGGCACAAGAAAAAAACAGTCTAGAGACGAGGTATACTTTCGATAATGGACAAAAGGAGTTAAATACTTCAGGGGTTTACTTAGGGTGCTGGCAGCTTTCCAACCATTGGCATTTTTTTAATGAAGATGGGATGTTTAACAAAACAAGAATGATTAATGTGACAGAGTTCTTTGTCCTGTGATCATCTGGAAAGCAGAGTGGTCTGGTAATTAGCCTACTGCAATAGACACTGCTGTTAAATGGGACCAACCTGCAATGCTTTTGCTACAACCGTTCCGAAATTACAGTCCATAGCTATACTCCTTGCATTTTACATGGTTTTACTTTATTTAGGGGCTTGGTATCCTCAGCTGAGGAAGCCCCTGTTTCTAGGTCCAACAATGACTTAGGACCTTTATGCTATAGGGTCTCTGTCTTGGATTGCTTCCTGCAAACAGCCTCTCCCACCTGTTTTTATCTGCTTTGGAGAAATGCCTGAAATGAGTGAACTCGGTGCCTGTGTCCTGTGAGTGGGGCTCGCATCACCACCCAACTCCGTGTGGGGAGGACAAATCTGGGAAAGCATGGGCAGGACTGAGGCTACATGTTCCAACTGAAGGATTCTGAGCAAAGGCATTTGGGCAAGGTCTATCCATTTCAGCCTCCAGTAACCCCTCCTGAAAATGTGAGATAACAAGGAGAGGCAATAGACCTAAAGGATACAACGAAATCCTTAACTGAGCTTCCACCTCCATGTCTGTTGGGCAGGAATGTTGGGAGAAGGCACCTGGGGTGGTCGTGGATTTATGTGGCCGCAGAGCCAAGGAGCTCAAACCCGAGTCCAGTGGTGTGGAAGGCTGGTGTCTCGTTTCCCCTGTCCCGGATTGTCCTCTACTGCTCCAGGGTGTTTGACATGCAGGCGAGATTCAGAGGTGAGGGAGTGGTTTGCTGTACAGTTATAAAAGACTGCAGCTGCTTAAATCTGACCTAAATACCTTCCAGATTATGCAGCCCGATGCTTTGTTTGAAAACCCAGAAAGTCGCTGTCTGCTGGCTATTCCTCCCTCAAGTGACCCAGGGGCATGGACAGGCAAGGAGTGATAACTCGCGTTCTGCGGCGGCCGTGGGGGAAAGCCTGGACAGCAGAGGGTGTTGCAGACTGGCGTGAAGGCGGCCGGGCCGCGGTGCCCGGCGTGCCCCTGCGCGGCCGGCTCTGGCTCCGGCTCCCCCCGCTGCATCCACGCTCCGGGACGCGCGGCACCGCCGGGCGCGGCAGCGCAGCCGCCCCGGGCCGGGCTGGCAGCCCGCAAGCCGCGGCACCGGCTCCCGCAGCCGCGCTGGGTCACCGCGCTCCGGGCAGCCCCTGTACCTTCGCTTTCCTGGAAAGTAGTTTCTCTTCGTTACTGAGAAGAGCCCCGCTCTGGTAGAGGAAGGAGGGGCCTTGCCACCGCTTCATGCGAAGAGGCCACTACTTGTGCTATTTTTTCTCATAAGAGTGGAACAAAACCAGCCTCTGCTCGCTCTGAACCACTGAAGGTGTTTGTTTGTTTTAGTTTGGTTGGGTTTTTGGGGTTTTGTGTTTATTTGTTTGTTTTCCTGGGGGAGTAGAGGAACAGGACTGGGGGATTTTTGTGTGTTGGTTTAGTTCTCCTGGCTTTCTCTTTTTGTGGTATTGGGGTTTTTTCCTTCTTCTTAATGCTTTGATGTTAGCACCTCCTAAAAGGAGGCTTTTAGCAAGTTAAGAGAGTGACCATCTCAAAAGGGGAGGAAAACTCAAAAGGGAAAACTACCTAAGACATTGTACATTTTGTATTCTTTGCAGGTTGGACTTGCAGCACATCAGGAGATGGTGGCAGTCATTTCCCACCCACCCCACAATCATCCTTCCATCCTCATGTCTGTACTCAGGCTCTGCCTGCATCACCTCTCAACCCAGGGTACCCAGGCCTTCCCCTTGCTTTCTTCTCTCCCTTTCCTTCCCATTTAACCACTTGGCTGGAACTCCCCAGCTTATGTCTGGGCCACTTGGTCAGCTACATTGTCAGGGCAGTTTCATATCCTACTCACATCCCATCCAGAAAGTCAGTGTCCACACCAGTGGGCAACAGCATGTTTGAGTCTGGCTGGCAGCGCAGTAAGGCACTGAGATCCTAAGTAATTGGTCACCTGTGATGTGGAATTGGTGCTCCAGCCCCAGCTGAGCTTCCACACACAGGTCTGCAAAACTGAAGGGTATGTCAGTACTGGGTGATCTAATGTGGTCACTCATCTTCCCTCCTCTCTGACCTCCATGTTCTTTTCCTTTGGTTTTTTGGTATATTTTTTTCCATTCTTCTGCAGATTTTCAGCATTTAATTATCTCCATTTCTTTCTATTCCTCATATCATCCTCTCCCTTCCTCTGAGGCAATGTTTGCCTTTTGCTTTCCCAGAAAACCATCTTTATTCAGTAGTTTGCAATGACCTGCCCCAAAATACTGTTCTTTTTCCCACACCTCCCGAAGTGACAGGAGTAAATAGACAGACTGTGGCTCCTTCTACCTTATGCAAGATGTGAGGAATCTGCATGCTGAGGAGTGAAAGTGTTAGGGTGTTACTGGTTCTTGGGCTTCTGGATATCAACATCTTGGAACTTACCAGACTTGGAGGTTGCTGAAGAACAAGCAGAGAAACACCACAAAGTAGGACTATGATCAAAGGTAGAATGAACTCAGACCTACTGCTCTCAGCAGCAGGACTTCAGACAAAACTGTCTGGAAATGGTTCATTCCGTCAGCAGCTCTACCAATTAATGCTTTCATGTTTAATGTGGTTTAAAGTTTTAGTATCAGTGATAGTGAGGGTATATTTATCCATGTGCAGGGGAAAAAATGAGGGATAGGATAAAATCTGTAAATCCTAAACAAATCCTGGCACCTTCTTGGGAGATAATCCTTGTCATGCTTGTCATTCCTTGTCATCAGCATCCTGGGCATCTCAAAAACTGTCTTAGGATGGATCCAGCTTTCTCCAGAGATGCAGCAGTGGGCAGTGTTCAAATTAGCCTGCCTGTATTCTCACTGTAATTACACAAAGCCTTTAAGGTGGTTGCCTTCTCCTCCTTCATGGCACAGGACACAAGCTATTTCAGCATCCTTGTGTTTTCCACCTATAATGAAGCCACCTCAGAGGTACTTTGATCCTGAAGGCATTTTGGACCCTGTGGTTCAAATGTGAGCTTTGGCAAGCTGTGGTCAATGGTGCCATTGTGACATACCTCTCTGGCTTTCATAGCTGAAGATGATTGCTGCAATACCCTTCAGCTGTAACTGCTGCCAGGTCACAGTTTCAAGTGGATGAGAGAAGTATGAGCAAGACCCGCAGACAATCTCAGAGCAGAGAATTCAGATGTTAACTTTTCACAGGCAAAGATGAAGAAGAAGAAGAATAAAAGGTAGAATTAGACCAGGCCATTTAACATTTAGGCAAGGTGGCTGGAAGAGTCTATGAAGTCACCCAATAAACGTTATAAATATCCACAGAGGGAAACAGACTCCCTACTAGGCAACTGTAAAGCAAACCACAGGATATTTTTGAAGCTGCCATCCAAAAATACAAAGAAAAGTGTGACAAGCGTACTTAAAAATGGAACAGATGAGTACTTCATCCCTGCTGTGATTTAGAGCTCCAGCGGCAGGTCCTCCCACTGAAGCCTCTCTGAAAAAGAATAAAGTGCTTTGCCCAGATTCTTATGGAAGTTCAGAAATTCTTCTGTGGTCAGCAACATCTTCATGCTTGGTTGAAAATAAAAACAAGAACTGGTGTCTCAACACTCAGTGGAAATTCTGGCAAGGCTGAGGATCATATTCAGTGGCATTTCTGACTGCTCTATGCTCCCTAGCAATGCCAAGCAGCTGTAAAGCTTTTAGTCTGCTGCTCAAGCTGGAATTACAGCTGCTTTACATCACTAGGCTGGTACAGAGCAGCCAGAGCACATCTGCGTTTGGGATTTGTATAGAGCTTTTTCAACAGGGCAAGTCACCTGGTATGCACACACTAGGGAGTGTGTGCAGCATCTAAAGAAAGTATGTAAGTGAATGAGAGCTGTGATGATGTGATTAAATCATAGTTTCATTACAGGCTAGGCCTCTAAACTGTGAGGTTTGTACTGAATTCCAAAGTTTATAATTTCTTCTGTAACATCTATTCTCTCTGAGCAGCAGTATGTGGTGCACTATTTATATTTCATATCATAACGTTTCTCTGCATTTGTAATTTTTTACATTATTTCCAGTATTTTAACTTGACCCATCAAGGCAACAGCGTGCGTTTTGGGGCACGCTCTTTAAGTGCGTATTACCCTGCCACATACGCTGTCCTTCCAGGGTGCCCGTGTCCTTCTGGAGAGCTCCTGCAGTGCCCTACAGGAGGTGGGAGAACTCCGGCAGGGAAGGTCGGGCCAGCTCTCTGGCTCCGCTGGTGTAAAGAGCCCTCTGCGACCCCCCTCCCTGCCCCACCTCGGCCCTGGACATCGCCCCTTCCCCGGTACTTGCGAGCCCCGATGCCCCAGCCCCGCGCTGCAGGGGAGCTGATGGTGGCCGGGAGGAGGGGCAGAACCCGGGACGGGCCACCGCCTCCCCGGGGCGACACGTGGCTCCGGCGGGTCCTGGGGCTGGCGGATGCTGCGGTGCCGTCCCGGTGGGATTCCTCTGCCAGTCTGCGGCAGAGGGGCTTTCACAGCATCTTTTTTTTTTTTCCTTTCTTTTTTTTTCCTTTCTCTCTCCCCTATCCGTTCAAGTTTTCTTTTACAAAAACCCAAACTTTTTTCTTCTTTACTTTTTCTTTTTCTTTTTTTTTTTTTTTTTTTTTTTTTTTCCCTTGCAAGAGCCACGCCGTGGAAAGACGGCGTGGTGGAGGAGGGAGAAACCCCTCCCCTTCCCCTCCCCCCGTGGCTCCTTCCTCGGAAAAGAAACATTTTGGGGGTTTCCTCCCCTCCTACCCCTCCCCTCCCTTCTGTGCCGCTCCGCTCCCCGGAGCCGAAGCCGCCGCCGCGGCGCCCGCCCGCCCCGCGGCCGAGGAGGGCCCGGCGGGGCAGCCGCGCCGCCCCCGGTAAGCCGCGCACCGGCCCCTTTGTGAGCAGAGGGGCCGGGGGGGATGCGGAGCCGCCTCCGTTCGGCTTCGGGGCGGGAGAGCGGCGGGGGCCGGGCCGGGCAGCGCCGCTGTCGCCCCGGCACTGAGCGCTCGCTCGCACTGGAGGCAGCGCCGCCCGCCCGTGGCCCCGGAGGTGCCGAGAGTAAGTTGTGCTGCGTTAACTGGAAACGGCCTTTTTGGGGGGCGGGCTGCGAGGAGTCTGTCTGTCTGTCCATCTGCCTGTCTGCTCCGACCCCCCCCTTGGCTTGCGAGGGGGTGCAGCCCCCGCTGATTTGGCTCCTGCGGTCGTTGGGGCCGTTCTTGGCTGGGAAGAAAGAGGGTGTTGGGGTTTGGGGGGCTTTTCCCGAGGAGTCGAGGGAGATTTGGGGTGCTGGCACCTCACTGCCGGTCTTGAAGGGAGCCATGTGCTGCGTTGGGGTGGCGGCGAGGTTCTGAGAGTAGCCTGGGAGGCTCCATGGGGACTGTCCTGCTGTCAAGGTGTTCTTCACAGCGTCAGGGCAGGGAGATGCTTCTTTTACAGTGAAACCTGGAAATTATGTAATGTCTTAGGTCTGTAGGGAAGATGCCGCACAGGTCTGAGTAACTTGGTCTTCACAACACTTCTTTCACATAAAAGCACTGGAGAAGCGATGCTCAGAGTGTTACACTTAGTCTTAGCTGGAAAAGGGAGCTGCCTGCCAGAAGTGAAGGCGTTACAGGGAAGAGGGGTAACTGTGAACTGGGGGTGTACATGCCCGTTTGGGGTTGCCTTGGAGGGCGGAGAAACTCGCCATCCTTCAGACCTGGCACAGTCAGAACGCAGCCTCACACCTGCCATTTCTCAGAAGATCGGTGCTGCATGCCCATGAAAAGTCTCATCGCAAAGGTTATCGCTAAATCCTCCTTCTTTATGCAATCTGAGTCATGGTGCTCACAGCCATGCAGGATCTGCTACTCACTTTTTCCCACAAACGCACGCGCTGTTACTGAGAATTTTGGAATGGTTACCACGTAAAAACCTCAGCTCATGCTACTCTTAGGTTTCTTTTTTTTTTTTCTTCTTTTTTTTTTTTTTTTTTCCGTTTTTTAAAAACTTGGTTTAAGTGTATGTTACTTCTTGCTTAATAGTAGCTTGGAAACAGGATCTGGATGAATCCCAGAGGTAGCTGATAGGAACTCAAGAATGCTAAGTTAATGTCCCTGGCTTTTTTCTTCTGCATGGTGAAGAAGGGGGATGTGGCTTGACCATTGTTCTGGAAAGTTGAGGGTAAAGAGTATTGTTAGCAAGCTGCTATTTAGGACTATGTGGTCCAGACAGTGCCATTTACTAGTTCTAGTCCTTGCAGCTCTCAGAGAATTAAAATGAAAAACTCAGTCACATGTTGACCATACTCAACTCTGAAAAATGGGGTGGAATCAGAAATAACTAGTTTCTCGATGTTTTATTCTCTACTGACTGTGTCCTTAAGATGGTATGCAAGGATATCTTCTTTCTCCAAACAACTGCAATTGCAATTCAGACGCTGTGTGAATGTCAAATGGCCCATTCAGTCACAGCAGGGCAATGGTCATGTGCTTTAAAATCATGCACATGCACAGAAGTTTGTGAGACTGAGGTTGCATTATCACATAATGTTGCTTTTAGTTGAATCAAGTTACGACCAAATGTGGCCAGTCGCTGCAGATGAAACCAAGCTTTGTTTCTGAGTTCATGAGTGATGCTTCTGGGTATGTGATTTAGAACTTGTTGAAGTATGGATTCTTGTTCCCTCCAGAGGGGAAGGCTCTTGGGCACAAACCCGCAGGATTACTGGGATGCCAACCTCCCACACAGGTTCCTCTTTTCCTGAGTTAAACTGGGATCTGGGCCTTTGTTATTTCTGTGCTCCTTGTTAATATTCTGTATGTTGCATGTCCTTTATTAACCTGGCTTATCACTTACTTAAATGTAGTGGGGTTGAGTTGCAACACAGGGGTTTTCTGTAAGATTGTGTTGGAAAGTACAGGTAAACTGTACTAGGGTCCCCAAAAATGGGCATAGAAGAGTACTGGAGAGAGACTGAGCTTCTTCAGATCTTCCCAGGTGTGTGTCTCTGTCCCCACTGTGCCTGCTTGGAGAAAGCCAAATTCAGTTTCCAGATAACAGCTTCAAACATGCAGCCAGTGCTCTTACCCTCCTCAGTCCAGCTGGGATTTCTGTGATGTTGGTGGTCGGTTTGCGCAAGGATAGAGCTGGGGTTGGGTGGTGTAAATTCTTAATTGCTGTCACTAATACTGTGGTTGCATTGCTGAGAAACAAAGGAGAAAATGTGCCTTTAGAGCTGTGTTTTTTCCCTTGTTTCTCTTTTTCTCTGTCCCCACTAGGAATGTTTTGCTCTTTTCTCCTAGTCTTTCCCTGCAGCTCCTTACCACTCGCTCTCCCCTTGCCACCCACAGGCTTCTCTGTCCTGATTTCTCCAGCCTTGGTTTGGTCAGCAATAAAGAGATAGTGCCAATACTTAAATATGACATCATTTGTTTCGGGTTGATGCTGTGGTTAGATTAATAAAAGCTGTGGGGAGGTGGTGTGTTCCTGAGCTGTTATTCCAGGCCACTGCAGACCTCAGCTAGTGGTGCTTGCCAAAAGCTCACAAGATGGGAGAGGAAGGCACATGCATCTCTGTAACTTAAGATGTGGATGTTGTGAGAACTGAGTAAGCCATACAGGGGCCATATCTTTAGAGAGTAAAGGTGTTAAGCATGTATGTCATTAGGAGGCCTATTGATTTAAAATAATGCAATTAAATGCTACATTAATTAGATCCTTGATTACATGTAAGTAGAGGCAGGTATGGTAGCAACTTATCCCCTTTTATCCTGTCAGTCTATTTCGTTACAGCCTACTCTTCTGGTTTGCATTTGTGCATATCTTGCATCTTTCTGCCTCAGTAAGATATTTATTAGCTCACCATTTTGCTGAAGTTTTGCTGAAATCAGTCTCAGCGTTAAAAAAAAAAAAAAAAGGTGCAGTGCTGTTTAGATGTAGTAGGATTTGGTGACTTTATGTTAGTGAGTGATCAAAATTACAAGTAGAATTTTTCCCCGTTGCCCCTCACCAAGTGCAAGGTTCCAAGTTAACATTTAGAAGTGAGAAGTGTAGAAAATCCTGCTTTTTAAACTTCTGGAACTCAATGCTTCTGTTCAATAGGTATTTAATAGTGTAAAAATGTAAATTCAGTTTTAGTAGAATGGCTAAATGCTGGTTTGTGTTGTCTTTGGAGACTTCAGAGCTGCCCCTTATTTTCATCCTCTTCAGTGGAGAAATGAAAAGGCCTGTGTGCACTTCACAGGAAATGAGTGTCTGATACAGGCTTGCAGGCTGCACATTTCCAAGAACTGCTCTCAAGGTATTTTGATAATGCACATTCTCTCTTGCCTTCTCCCTTCCTGCTCCTCCTGCACTTTGTGTGCTATTTCTTGTTCACAAACACTTGCAAAGTTGAGGGGAAGAATCAAATAGTGCCACTGTTAAGTTTGCAGATGGGCTCCTTTAGCTTTGTGCTGGAGCAGTGGCTGGCAAATTGGGTTAAGCTGGCAGCATTCGATTGCCTTTGTTGCAGAGGGCTTTTGTCCTTCCCCTCACTCCCTGCAAATGCTGAAAAAAAAAAATTTGACTTCAGCCTGTGACTTGTGCAACAAGGGAGTTTTTTGTGTGTACGTGATTCTGCAGTTCAGAAACAGTATGGATCTACTTTCATACTTCCTCAGTAGCAAAGTTTATTTGGAAACTTAGGCTAAAGCTAAGAAAAATGAGTGTGGCTGTTAGCAGGTGGAAAATGCCAGAGATCTGCAATCTGTACTGTGTAGCTGAGCTTCTGCACATCCTGCTGAAGGTGCCTTGCTAAAGCTAAGGGGATTCAGCACAAGTTTGCCTCGGTTGGCACACCAGCGGTGATGAGCACAGGTTTGATTGTGTAGGAATGGTTTGTTTATGCTTTTTGACAGACCAGCAGTGTTGTTCTTTATCCATATTTTAGTTCCTCCTTGTTTTCTGGTGAGATTTTGTGGTGTGGAAGGAGAGAAGTCGGAGCTGGAGAAACATTTACTGCTTTAGCAGTAAAGACTGAAATCTGCTGTTTGTGTAGGGTGCGCGCTGATATTCAAGACAGCAGATCCAAAGAAGAGTTGCTGTTCTTTTTAGTCATCAAAGAATGAGGACAACATGGACAGAGCTATTTTAACTCTGTAGCAGGTCCATAGTTGATTCCTCATATTGAATTCATATGCCCTTGTTTACTACTTCAGTTTTGCACAAAGGACATTATGCCTTGTGCTGGCTTCCCCTTAGTGTTATGTCAGGTTTAAATGGTTAAGAGATGTCTTAAAAATGTGTTGCTGAAAAATCCAGCCCTTTGCTGCTGAATTCCTCTGCCTAAGGTCTGCTAAAGCATGACGTGATGGATACAGCATAGAAACAAAGCAAAGGCATTTGAGAGAGAAGAGAAATGAGTCTCCTTAGATCAGCTCTCTCACTTTCCCCAGTCTACATGATTGGAGTTTTTCCTTTTATGAGTTTTAAAATTAGTTACTTTTCAATCTTGGTCACCTTTGAACTCTCTCTCATCAGGTTTTCTGAAAGAATACAAAAATAATGTCCTGATTGTACTGTATCTTTCTCTGGCATCCTCTTGTATATATATCTATTCTCTACATTGAGCAAGGAATTTCTCCAGCCTCTCTCTGTACAGTTACATTTTGCTTCTTATTACCCATCTTTAGGCCTACCCACTTTGTTTTAGCTGTGTATGTTTTTATTTCAGGTAACTAGAACTGACTGTATTCTCTCAGGTGGTGACATTACTGTTATGTTCCCATCCATTTTGCACTGTCCCAGTCCCGCTTGCCTCTTGGTTTTTCAATGACTGCTTTTGCATTCGGAGCTGGAGCTTTCCTTAATGAACCCTCAGCACAGTTACTCGGCTCATTGGTCAGCTGCACCACTTAATTTATTGCTCTTGAAAATATAGACCCAGCTGGTTTTTCTACAAGCCTGCGTGCATTTGCGTGTGTCAGGACAGAGTGTTGCCTGACCTCCTGCTGCTTTCCTGCTGATGAATTTTGAATGACCTCTGACTTCTCTGTCATGCGGGGAGTGAAGTGGTTTTGTCACTGTTTACCCTAGGAAGACGATGGAGAGGGCTCACTGTGTTTTGAGTTGGCTGCCTAGATTTAAGTACCACGAGGCTGTGAGCTGCCTGCTGGGAAGCAAGGTTAGGCCATGGGGGTTTGAGGTGTTGTGGGTAATGACAGCTTGAAGATGGAGAGACAATTCTAGGAAGAGACCTGGGTCAACATGTAAGTTTGCACAGTCAGGGGGGAGGGAGGTGCTTGCGTAACAGATGGGGGAGCCTTTGGGCTGTTTGTACCAGCCTGTTGAACAGTGAGGTGGGATGCTATGCAAAGTGGGCTGAATCAACCCAGAGGGAAGATGTTGTGGCTGGGAGGGTTGGCAGAGAGGTGACCAGATGTGCAGGGGCTGAAATGCCTTGGTTTCCTCTGGCCACCCCTCTTCCATCTCCCATGAACCCTGTGGCTTGACTGCTCCATGTCTTCTGCCCATCTGCTGTTACAGGTCCTGGCATGCTCTGGCTCTTTAGCTTGTGTGCCATGTCTTGCTTTCTGACTTGCTTTGGGGAAGCACAAAGTGTGTCCTCTCATCTGTTGCTTCTTCAGGTGCCATCTGCCTGATGGGGAACTCTGCCTGGGGGTTGGCTCTCCCCCGCACCAGGTAGCCGTGTGCTGCTCCTGCCTTAGCAGCACAAGTCAAAAAAAGTTCCTTCCAATACTTGCAGCCCTCTGGCAATTGCTAGTGTTGCTGATGTGCTTGAGAGAACACCTCTCTTTGTATCTCAGCTGTCCATTTCCAATTCCAAATCTCCAGGTATAGTCCACTGTGCCCAGCTGGCTTTCTGCTTTAATGCCCCTTTCCCTGTCTCTTCTGATAGAGCACCCTCTTTTTTCCTTTCAGGTTAATCGGCATTAAATACTGGGAAATCTCAACATCCTGTGCAAGAAAAAAATAATACCTGCTTGCTTGTGTAACTTTTCTGCAGTGTCCCTGTCCCCACTAGTTGGTATTCTATTCAACTAAATTATTCCCCCCGAGGTTTTCTGTTTTTGATAAAACTGAAAATGGCATATGTTTTCTGGGTTTTGTTTTGTTTATCTTGGCCACCTACTGTCCCCATTTCATGACCGCTGTCCTCATATAAATTTGTTCTCTACTGTCAATATTTTATATTCCTTTATATTGGTTCCTCCAGGATTACTTTTTCATTTTCTGAAGGATTATTGAGGTTGTAGAGATATTTTAATAGGGACTGTGGTTTTGTAGTGTGTGTGTTTGATGTCTCTGATCCACAGCAGAAGCCCTTGCCAGCTGTTGCACCTACAGCTGATACCTGCAGTGTGACCTGTGTTGTCCCCCAAGCCTGTCCTCTTAGCCAGGCAGCATCTCTGTGCTGTCTTTTGTGGGAGGTCTGCACACTCTGTCACTTAAGATTTCCTAAATAACTTTTCATTACTTTTTTTTTTATTATTATTTCTTTTTACTTTTGACTTTCAGGACTAGTTTCTTTATTTTGTGTGCTGGAAATCCCCCACTATAAAACTTAGTGTTGTGGTATGTCTGTGCTTTCTGACCCTTGCCCTTTGCTCTGAAGGCACAGTAACTGGTGCTGCATAATGGCCCTTCACATCTTTTGAAGCTGGTCCTCCTGAAGAATCAAGGCAGGGTGTTTCCCTTGTCCCCCTGTGCTCCTGTTGGTTAATCATCTGGGACTCCTCTAGCAGCGTAGTTCTGGTAAGGATTCTGAACCAGCTTTAGCTGCAGACACTGCTAATTTGTCAGAGTTAGCTGCTTCTTTGAATTCCTTTCCGGCTCAGTGTGATGGTTTTGATAAAAAGCCGTGGTTGTCACAGGGACCACTGGTGGCCTTTGTGTCTCAGGATTTACTCATTTCCTCAAACGGGGTTCTGGAACAAAGTCAGTTTAGTAGAGAGAGGCAGAGGAAATGTACCTGTGCTGCTGGGCTGGGGGTGGGGGAAGCTGGTAATGCTGAGGAGCCATGATGGGTTGGAGGCAGCCCTGGGCAGCGCTACCCCCTTCCCACTGATCCCTCTCTCAGCAGGGAGATGGGACACAGCATTTCAAGTAGGGAGACATGAGGGACTGCTGTTATCTTGGCTTCTTTCTTCTTTCTCCTTGTGCCCTCTCCCTGTCTCCTTGTTTCTGCCCCAAAGTGGGGAGAGCTCCAGCCACCTTTTCAGAGGGGCTGCTTCCTGAGCTGGTGTGTGGTGTGGAGGGAGGAATGGCAAAGCAGCAGCACAGATTTTGTGTTCCCTGGCCAAGCACAGGGCTGAGGTTTTCTGTAGCTGTGCAGCACTAGCATTCACAGGAATGGCTGCTCGCTGTGAAGCTGCAAAGGTCAGGAGCAACGCGACTGGGCTTCCCTCACTTACCAAAAATGCTGTTGGCCAGAGTCAAGCAGCAGCTCTCTTTGCTTAAGCCATAGCAGGATAGCCTCAGCTGCAGCTTTGGAACTTAGTAGTAACAACTCCTGATTTCCTTTTTCTACTTTTTTTTTCCTTCTTGTTTCCCCAGTTGCAGGAGAAGGCAGAAATAATTCAGTCTTTGGTAGAAGATGTCTTTGGCAGAAATCAGATGGTAGTTTTGGTAGTTTTACTTGTTGTGGAATAAGCTGTAGTTGCTTGTGGCTATTGCAGAGCAGCCTCTGAGTTCAGGGAAGTGATGAGGCTTCTCTGTTCTGAAATGGCAGGATTACAGTTTCACATTGGGCTATTTAGATGAGGAAAAGGCTCTTTTTTTTGAGAGTATTTCTGAAAGTGCATAGTATTAGCAAGGCTTGAAGAGGGAACCCTAAAAATGGATGTCTTTCTTTCAGCTCCTTCAATTAGTTCAGTAAAGACAATTAGTTTTTCCTTTAAACTGCCACCTTGTTGGGTTTTTATTAATGTGTGTCATGGAGAAACCAAAGTGCTTGCAGACTTCACTGCCTTGAAGAGTATTTGGCACACATCACACTGTCTTGTTGGTTTTCTTGGAGTAAAAACCTTTCAGCCCCATTAGCAAAGTACCATGTTAATTCAGAAAACACATATCATAGAAAAATACATTTAAAAATACCAAACATTAATATCAGATTAAAATTAATTAATAACAAAGTTATTTGTGGGGTTTGAAATATGTTCTCCAGACTCAAAATGTCGGGAGGTGTTTGATAAGACAAGTGTTCTTGCAAGGTGTCCAGCTGCTGATTCCCAGAGCCTGCATGCAGGATCTTCCCGCACTGTGACTCTGCTGTGCAAAATATGAACTGCCACAGTGTGTGTGCTGCCTCAGCTTATTTTATTAAATGTTGCATCCTTGGATGCTGATTGTATAGGGAAATGCAGTTTTGGTTTGGGGTATGTATGTGTGGTGTGGTTTGGTTTTTTTCCCACATATTCTCTCATGTGTCAGACATAATGGCACCCTCACATCAAACTGCCATGGCATAAAAGATAGAGGGAGCAGCAATGTCTCCGAGGTCTGCTTTGTGCTGGAGAAATTGGCTGTGATTAACACTGGTTCTCTTGGCTGAGCTGGGCCACATTCCTCTTCTAACCACAGCTCCCTCTGTTCTCTTTGGTATGTCTGTCTGTGCATCTCCTTTCCCTTCCCCTTCTGTGATCCCTTTCTGGATCAGCCCTGTCACCTTTGCAGTGGCAGGGTGCTCATGGCAAGGGGCTTTGGTGTGACCATGCACCATGGTGGCAACGGTGCAATTCAAACCAGTGCTGGTGTGTGGCAGGCGGTGGCGGCCTGAGAACCAGGCTGGCCTACCATTAAAACCCAGTGCTGCGTGCTTGGCTCTTACCAGGGAGGTTTCTTCCAGCCCTTTGCTCAAGCTTTCCTTTGAAACAGCTTTCCCAGCCACAAATCAGTAGGCAGCACATTTCTGTGGGATGCAGACGTGCAAACAAACGATGTCTGCTCCGGCTCTGCTGCCTGGAGTAGGGACGCTGTTGCAAGGTCCTGCAGGGTACATTAGGGAGAGCTTTTCCTAATTATCCCAGCCTCTATCTAACTGCTCTGGGAACTGCAGGGTTGATATCTGGGAGATGTCAAAGCCAAATGGAGTGGTAATGGGATAGTGTAATAATGGGATCGACCTGCAGTTTTGGTAGTGGCAAGTCAGTGTAGCTTGTGGGGTGTGTGCCCACTTCGGACTGGGCTGGGGAGGGTGCAGAGAAGTGATGTTATGTGGGTACAAGTGAAGCTGTGCAGGGCCTACCTCTGAAAGGCATGCAGAAAGATGGGATCGTCTTTTCAGCTTGCTGATGGATCCACTGACAGACACGTGATTTCACACGTGGTGGTCTGCTGGTCCACCAGGTCAGTGGGTTTACTTTTCCATCTTCAAGGTGAGGAGGAAAAGTCATGAGAGCTGGGGAAGCAGGGCAGAAGATTGTGGGCCAGAACAGATTGGGTCACAATTGGGTCACAGTGAATGGATACCTATGTGGTGTCAAATTAGATACTCCAAATGTTGTGTTTTGTATTCAGTAGAAGTTGGGACTTTGCTGTTCTGAATCTTTGGGTTTATTTCTGTTGCCATCATCTCTTAACATTTGGGTTTTATGGTTCTTGTGTCCAGAAGATGATGGCAACCTTATGGGCTTTCCACTTGTCCTTGGGCCACCTGTGAGCTGCCTGGACCTAATCAGCTCATGGCTTTGTAAATAGCAGTAATAACAACAACAGCAACAGTCTGCTGTCTCTGTTGCTATCTGAAGTGCTGTATATATGTTTCTACAGTAACACAGATCAAAGAGATAGAGACAAACAACCTGTCCCCAGATTTGTTGTATTTTAGATCCACATTGCAGCAAACTAATGGGCTTAGTCATCTGCTTGATGGACGTCTTTTTCTTTTCAAAGGATGGATTTGCTCTTAAGTAAAGCTGTGCAAAAACTGGGAAGCGCTGCATCAGAGCTTTTGAATTTGGACCACTTCCAGTCCTGACATTCAGAAACTCATCCCTATGGGTGGCAAAGACAAAGAGGTAAGCTTTTTCTAGTGTCCTAGAAGAAGAGTGTGAGGATACATCGTAGCTGAGTACTTTAGAGGGATGTTGAACATGCCAGATTTGTCAAGCCCCAGGGTGCAGGGCTGGCTTGGCTGACGCCGCACAGTGTCCAGTCCCCGGTGAACTAGAATTGTCTCCTTATATAAAACATGCTGCCTTGTCTGGGTTGTGGGTGAGGAGGAAAGCAGAATGCCCTGTGTCAAGAGCACTTCTTTTGAAAAGCTCTTGAACTTGCAGTAAATCAGAAAGTCTGGGGAAACTTATCCAGCCTTTTAATTAGCAGGACACCAGCTTTTTAGAGTACGTTGCTTAGGCTGCAAGCACTGTTCTGACTTGCAGTAGGGAGGTAGTAACTTGTTTGGGCGTTGGGGTTTTTTGGGTTTTTTTGGAGGGGAAAAGAGGGAAAGCAAATCATGGTGTGACAAGTCAGCAGAACTAATTATGCATGTGTCAAAACCAAGCCATGCCCTGACTTGGTTTATTCCTAATCCTGGGTATGTACATCCTCCTTGATGTGGGAGGCCATGTACGCCTAGGACCTGTTGACCCATTTAAAGTGAACCTTAAAGGTAGTATCAGGAAGCACTTCTAGGGCTAATATTACTGTAACTAATGCTGTACTGCAGGCCAGGCACTTACCTCTTGGAAATGGGTCACTGAAGCTAAATAACTTCCCCCCACCCCGAGGCTCTGACCTATATGTAGAAGTGAACAAATTGTCAAGGTGCTATTTTTGCATTTACTTTGACTTTGAAATTATGACATTCTCAGTTTTTAGTCAGTCAGATTTCTAGTAGCAGTGGATTTTTCTTAAAGAACTCGGGTGAACGACTAAAGGTTGAAAACTGGGACAAACCAGTTTGGGGTTTTTTTCTGTCAAATAGAATCTGCAGCCTTAAACAAATTATATATTTGTTGTTATTTTTAAAACTAGACTGGAATTGAAAGACAGCTGCCTGCTTCTGTTTTCGTGCTTGAATTAAATTTCCATCCTCGACCCGTGAAATTAGCAAAATTTCCATTTGGACCCAAGAAAATTTGCTGTTTAGGAAGGGTCTTTATCATTCCTTTCGAAGTTTTAGCCCCAGCCCTGGAGGCACCTGGCAGATTACCTTTGTTTTCTATAGGAGCTAATGTCAGAGAGCCCTATAGCTTCCTCATCCAGCAGAGAGGAGAGGGACAGAGATTCTGCAACTCCCTGTGGTGCCTTCTGTGCTGAGTTTTAAGTGGTGATAGATGGCCCTTGTTGCTGTGTTTGTTTGCATCCTGCTTGCTAAATCACCTTCACCTAAGATTTATTCTGACTTGCTGAATGGTCTGAGCAGCTTTCAACTGCTGCCTTTTTTTTTTTTTTTTAATGGAAAAGAAAAAACCTAACTTGATTAACTCCTTCCTACCCCTCCCACCTTTCTCTAAGCATGGAATTTCCCTCCTGCTATGAAACTACATAGAGGGCAGGATCAACAGCACTGAGAACAGTACCAGGGACATTAGCAGCTTGTGGACTTCAAATCACAGGGTTCCCAGGCTGCTCTTGGAAAGGATGCTTATGGCTCCATATATGAAAAGTGCCTGGCAGCTATGCTATTACTGTTAAGTATTGAGAGAGATGTTAGACTAGAAAATATACATGTGTAGTAAGGCACTGCCAGGCCTGTGCCTGCTCTCCCTAACTACTGTGCCCCTGTGAAGGAAAGATGTTTGTCCTCTCCCGGAGTGCAGAGTGTGGCCACCAGCATGGCCACCAGCATGACCACCCAGCTGGCACGAGCACCAAAAGGAATGTGAGGCTTTTGAATAGCTGGCAAAGGGTGTGAGACAGAGGAACCTTGCAAGGAGCTGAGCTTAACTTGAAGCTCTCCCTGCAGAGCAAGCCTAGCACGGGTCCCTGCACATTCCCTGGGGGGCTGCCTGCCTGATACGAGCCCTGAGCCTTGATGCTCTGGCAAGTGTGTGGTGGGGGTGGTGGAGGGGGACTGCTGGAGATGAAATGTGTCTCTTCCTCTGCTGCAGGCTGTGCCAGCACTCTCTTCTGCTCTAAGCATGGCTGTGCTGTGAGTGAGTATGACTGGGTTAATGGAGTATGTCAAGGGAGAGAGGGCAGCATTTGGCAGCAAGCTACTGACTTGTCAGGCCTGGGGAAGTGGTATGTTACAGCTCAGCTTCTCACACAGAATGAGCCTCTGGCTTAGGGCTGTGGTTTTTAAATTTGTGCCTATACAGACACACACATTTAGAATATGTATTTTTTTAATATAATTGAAGTGACTTGGATGGCTGATGGCAACGCTGGATTCAGAAATTTGCATTTCTAAGAACAGCCGGGTGATAACACGAGGTGCAGGAGATAAGCAGGGTCATGACAGTACATTAGAGGATGGTGACTGGGAGAGGGCAGCATTGTCTGCAGGCAGGGGGAGTTGTCCTTCTGGAAGAAGCAGAAGTTAGAGTCTGGAACGGCATCAGCAGTGCCTGGTACCAGTGTTAAGTGAACTCATTCAGTGTAGTCTCAGCCTTGAAGCTGACATAGCATTTCTTGAAGGGGGCTTGATCTGAGACCTTTGCTTTCTCCTGACATAGTGAAACAGGCATGTCTTGGGATAAGGGAGTGGTTCCTGGGATTTGGTGAGAAAGGCTCATACCTGTCTTCTGCTTTTGCTAAGTCCTGCTGTCAATCTTTTTATTGGATAAAGGGTTGGAGAAGTGTGAGGAAACCTTTCTAACTTTCACTGAATGACAAAATAAATTATACTTTCCTCCTTTAAGAAATCTTTCCCTTTTGATATGTGGTGTCGTTTCACCTTTCCAATCTCAAGGCCACTCTGAAAAGTCCCAAATGTCTGGCAGAGGGAAATCTTGAAATGTTGAGATCTGCTGGGTTCAAAGTAGCCTGCTGGAGGGTGTGCAGGAGCCCCTGGCTGTGAATCACAGAACCCCAATGTATGCAGAGCTCTGTAAAGTGCCACCTTCTACTGGTGGGGACTCAGCTGGAGCCCTTTCCACACATATATCCTTGGTTTTCACTGCAGCTGGGGGTTGGTGACATGCAATAGCTCCTCGGTGCCCTCTGTGGTACTCTTGCTGGTCTTTCTCCCTTGGGAAGCGTCTTGCCCAGGTTGAAGAAGTTATTGGGTTTGCCTCACTCTCCTTCTGTCCCACAGGCTGGATGCAAAGGAGGAAGCATGGTAAAGGCAGCATCTTTCCAGGATTCATGGGCTCTTTGAGAGATGATCAGAGGGAGGCCAGATGACCTGCACAACACACACACCACTGTTTCTCATCTGCAAAGGCGGCATCGGAGCGTTCTCCCCAGCCCCGCACCACCCGGCTTGCCCGATCGTTTCCGGATGTTTCGCAGCTGCGAGTGGGAAGTCCTGGAGCGATCCCTCAATATCCTTCAGGCCAGTGACTTCTACTGGGGCCCCTTGTCTGTGGGGGAGGCTCATGCCAAGCTCCAGCGGGAGCCTGTAGGCACCTACTTGGTGCGGGACAGCTCGCAGGGGAACTGCTTGTTCAGCCTGAGCGTGCGGATGCCCACGGGGCCCGTCAGCCTTCGAATCTCTTTCCAGGAGGGCTATTTCCGCCTCAAGAACTGGTTTTCAGACTGTGTGGTCCGGCTGCTGGAGCTGGTGGTGGCAGGGACCCGGAACAACCCCTTGCACTGTGATGAGATGGGTGGAACTCCCCTGATCTTCTCTGAGCCCTTGTGCCGGAGCCGCCGGGCAGTGCCCACGCTGCGGGAATTGTGCTGCCGGAGCCTCCCTGCCAGTGCCGCGACAGAAGACAGAGCAAGGCTGGGGGACTCCTTGGGAATGTGTCTGAGGGAAGAGGTGTTCTCGCCCCTGGATGAAAGGGGAGGGTCAGAGGGGAGCATTGGCCCCAGCCCCTCTCTGTCCTGGGCTAGGAGATGATGCTATGCATATGGGAGATGAAAGGAGATGCCTCTTTTATGGCTGTGCTGGTGGGGTGTGTGCCACACCAGTGATGCTGAACTGGCTGCTGGGAGAGGAAGGGGGAGGGCAGAGGGAGCAGAGCTTGAATCCAGTGGCTGTGACAGATGTGTCCTCATACATACACAGTGAGTGTGACTTTCCCAGACATGCCTGGGGTAAAGCCAGACCTAAAGAGTAGGCATTGCCACTGCTGCCAAGTCCTGCTCTTTGCCCCATTTATAACTTAAAAGCTTCAGAAAAAGGTGAGTTGCCCGTCCTCCCAGGTCAACCCTGTGTTCTCTTGTACCCCAAAGTGCTTGAGCTCATTTCTGCCTCAAATCTGCCCGGTGGAGTACAGCTGAGTCCAGTCCCACAGCAGTGCAGCTTGGACATTGATGGGCATGACCCTTGTGCTGACCCACGAAGCTGTGGTGGAGCAAGAGCACGTTTCACTCCTCGAAGCACGAATGTGATGCCTGTCACTTCAGAGGCCGGTGTTTGCACCAAGTGAAACCATTGCAGCCATGTACAATACATGCAGCTTCACTGGCTTTTGCATTGCTTTATTTGATTGGATTTTTGAGAGTGAAGATGGGGTTACTCTGTTCTTAAGGGCATGGCATTCCTGCAGAGATAACCCTGGAGAGTTGTATCTGCCCTTGGAGGGTGTGAAGAGATGGGATCCTGCACCCTTTCTTAAGCTCATGTGATAGTGTACTGCTGCCATCTGTCGAGCATCAGATGTTTTGGTTTTGCCTCTGAAAGGCAAGGAATTTTTTATATAAAACTTCTAAAATTTAAATAAAATTTTTATATTGATTTTTAAAAGTCAGTGAATACATGGTGATAACTTCATTCCCTTGTAATGTTGGAGGCGCAGTTAGTTTAGTGCCCAGGCTTGGCAATCAAACTGAAATGGAATAAAGGAATTTCTCATAAAGACCAAAAGCAGAGCATAAATGAGTGGTCCTAGCTGGGAACATTAAACGTAAATTTATCTGGTAGTGTAATGTAGTGAATAATTTTCTAAACAGAGAATACTTCTGAAAATCTCAGCCCTACATTTTTAGGAAGTTGTTTTAGTACCTTAAAGTTTGTACTGAGTGTTTGAAAAAAAAAAGAGTAATTCAAGATCTTAGAACAGGGTACAGCATCAGTGAACTTACTGGTGAATATGAGTACAAATGGGAGGAACACAGTTGGCTTAAATAGGGTCACGGTTCATTTCAGGGATAGTTGGTATGATGTCTTCAAAATAAGTGATTGAAAAAAGCTACATGAAAGAAGAAATTCAGACACTAAAATTTGAGCCAAACCATTGCTAAAGATCCATAGCTGGGCAGACAGCCTGCTTTGCTCATGCTGACTTTCCTCTTCAGACCTGTTCAAAGCTGAACAGGGGAAGAGAGTACACTGAATTTGCTCTATTGTCTTCAGCTGTTTTATCTGAGGAACTGAAGTGTGTGGTCAGCACAGAGAGAGATACAGACTGATTCATCACAGGAGCTGAGCTTAGGCACTCTGAATTATTCTCTGGAGGGCTTTGTTGCTCTGCTGGTGGTGAGGTGCCTGACTGCCTGTCTCAGGGCATTGGCTTATCAACCAGGGTAGTTAGATAAGTGTCAGGGAAGTGGTGATCTTGTCCTTGCTGCATGCTCCTTCCAGCTGCAGGGAGGCCAGAGGGAGCTTGGTGGCCCTGCAGCTACTGCGTCTCTCAGCCCAGTGCAAAAGCAGGAGCTGGGATTGTTCCTTCCCGCACGGTGTGTGCGCTGGGGTGGCTGACATGTGGGCATAGTGTTGCTTGCTGTCAGCATCTCAGGTGGCTCTGGGCACCTCTGGGACCATTCCCCCCAGGCTCTTGGGTGAAGCCCCTACCTCAGCAGGGTCAGCCACACAGCTGCCCTCCCTCTCTGCTATGGAAGAGTGGGACTGGATCTGTTGGCCCAGGCATCATCTTCCACCCCTTGATCCTTTGCTTTCTTGAAGGTGTCTGCTGAGGTGCCTTGGCTCCCTTCCTGCTTTCCCTTCAGAAAGCAGGGGGGTGGAGGAGCAGTATAATTCCTTCCATGTTTAGAACTGAGCACAGGAATGCTTCTGTTTTCTGGCCACAGTTATACCTCACTGAGGGAAGAGCTTTCTGATGGTATTGCTCTGACCTGGCTGTGAACTGTTCTCATTTGGCCGCAAATGAGCATCTTGGGTTGTGTAGCTGGGAGCTGCAGAGGAGCCCTATTTGTGCCCTGGATTGTGCTTTAGGAAAATCACACCACGGGAGAAGGAAATAGTTTGGATTTTAATAAAGTCTACTTTATTTGGTTCTTCTTTTTTTTTTTTTTTGTTTTTGTTTAATTGCACAGCAAGCACTTGTCTCAGTCTTACAAGTAAGTCAATTCCATGCAGGGCTGCAGCGAATTGATTTGAGATCTGTGGATGAAAAGCAGTGAATTACTGCCAAGCATTGTTATATTGTGGAAGTTGAAAGCACATCATGTGTGAGTATCCTCATTATTCCCAAGGAGAGGTCACTCTGCAGATCAGGATTGGTGCAAGAAAGGAAATCAATGTAGAAAGAACAGGAAAATGAAAAGTGCATTGGCTGAGGCAAGCATTAGAATCCTTCATTCTCTGCTTGGATGTTGGATGAGAAACCTTTTTCTTTCAGGTCTTGAGAAAAAAAGATATACAAAACAAAAGGGTAAGAATTTACTTCTATGGGGTAGCACTATCCTGCTGCTTTCATTAGAGTGGGAGATGTTCACTTTAATGACCCTGCCTCTGAATGGGTTCCTCTGTCACGTAGGAGTAGCTCCTGGTAGTCTGTATCCAAATGTTTCTTTTGGTGGCTCCTAAGGGGACTTAAAAAGAAATTGCAAACTTCCTCACAACCTCTTGAGCACCATTTGGGGAATAGAAGAAAATTGTTTGCATTTTTATATGTTATGTTATACATTTCTCCAGCTGACTCATTTCATTTTGTCGAGGAAACTTACACAGGCTTTGCAGATGGTTTTTTTCAAGTGTTCTTCCTAACAGCAGAAGTTGAAAAGTTTAGTGCTTGCAAGAGGGGCTTCCTCTACCATGCTGTGAAGGGCCTGGATCTCAGTCCCAATATGCTGCAGGCATCCAGCAGGAAACTGCTCTTTGTCTGCTCCCAACTAGCTGTCTGTTGGTAGTGTTCTGGCGCCCCAAGAGTTAATTTCCCAAAATTCTTCACTGGAACTTGCTAATAACTTCCATATGTACCCATGTATGTGCTTAGGAGGGGCCCCACAGCCATCAGCTCTTGTAATAATACTTGATTACCTCTGACACAAGGGTCTGTATGTCGTTAGGGATGAGGATTCACCAAAAGACACAAGTTTGTGCAAAAACTTTTTTTAAAATTTATTTTGTCATCTTCAGTGATTGGGAAATGAACTCTTAGGTAGTTGAGCTTCAAAATAAAGCCTGTATACACACAGGATCTCAGTTTTGACCCTTACCCTGATGTCCCTCTGAAAATGTGTATTTGTGTTTTAGTGTGCAAAATCCCTTAATTTACAGCACACCTTGGTTAGGGGAATGGCTTTGTCTTACTGAGTTCGTTTTGCCCCAGCTCCTTAGATGTTTGGCATCTGTACAGTTAAAACTGCACGCACTGGAACTTTCTGTCTGCCCCGTGTCATTCCGTGATGCAAAGGCCGGGCTACTGAGGGCAGCCTTCAGAGAGAAAGCAGGTGTTAGAGGGAGAGGGAGATGTGGCAGGGTTGCTCTGAAACTCCGATGCCTCCCTGCAGCGCTGCCTGGGTCTTGGCAGGCTCCTGCTGCCTTCTGATCTCAGCTGGGGCTGGCGGAGCTGCGGTTTTGATTCAGGCAAAGCAAAGTACTTCCAAACGCTTCCTGTGCAAGGGCTGGCTCGATAGTAGGACTCTTCAGCCAGAAAAGAGATGGCTGAGGTCTGAGGCAGAGATCAGTGAAGCCTAAATGCCATGGAGTAGGTGACCATGTGTTTTCTTAAAAATCCAGGGAGGCGTCTGATTAAATACTTCAAGACTCAAAAGGAGACATTTCTTCATGTGACGTATAGTAGCTTAAGCTGTGGAAATCTCTGCCACAGGCCACCAGCAAGGCTGACCTCTGTGGATACAAAAAGTGATTAATGGTTATTGATGGAGCACCTCTGGAGGAGGAAAAGCAGAGTCCAGAAATAGGGGAGAGGCAGAATCCAGGTGGAGCTTTTGAGTTCTGTGCCTTGTAGAGCAGACCTCTGCTATGGCAGGAGTGTGGGAACAAGCCAGCCTAGGCTCAGCCTGAGGCTCAGCAGCACAGGGGGCAGTCCAGGCTAGCTGAGCCAGTGGCTTGGTGAGGGACAGCTGTGCTGAGCTCCCAGAACTGTGCTGGGCCTCTCGAGACAGAGGGGTCTGCACCTGGCAGACCTGTACGCCCACCCCTGCAGTGCAGTTGCGTGCCCCAGCAGAAAAGGGAGCCCCAAAGGGAGCAGCCCTCGGGCGCTTCTTCCCAGCTTTCACAAGCAGAAAAATTAGGACACCCATCTGATGCCTGGAGGCAAGCGTCAGCACAGGCTGAGCATAAAAACATTGCCATCATTCAGAATGAGTGAAGGAGCCTGAATTGTCAGCTGAGGGCACTGGGGGAGGCCAGCATCAGCCCGAGGTGATGGCTGGTGGGGGCAGAGCTGGGGGCTCCCAGCCTGACTAACTGCATGTCAGAAAGGAGCCGCAGAGCTTTGAGAAGCAAAGCACTAGGCAGGCTGCTAGGTTTATCCATCCCAGAGCAAATGACTTGCCTCCTGAGCTACCTTCTTTCCCAAGACACCACCCTTGCCATCAGAGCCCTCAGTCTTTGAGTTGGTCCCAGATGCCACTGAAATCAATGAGCAGATTATTGTTCCTCTCTGAAGATTTTGGATTAGGCCTCCCTGTTTTGTCAGGCTGATGTGAGCAAAATGTGGGTTTTCCACACTAAACGTAATCAAAACAAACCCTTCTCCCACTGCTTGTGCAACAAATCATGCTGGGGGAATTGCTGGCATTCGGCGTGATTAGCCCAAGTGCAGATGCCTTCCAGCTTGTAAACAATAGCCTAAAGGATTGGAGAGGATCACAAACAAAGCACTTATGGAGAAGACAGCATTTTCAAAAGAGACTTGAGAGCTTATGTCCATTGGGGGTTTGTCTTTTAAAAATAAACTAGAAGTAAACAAATTGACAGAGACGGCTCTGAAGAGTCTAGGAGAATGAAAGTGAGGAGACTGGATATAATACACCAAAAATTAAGTAGGGGAAAACTAGACAGGGCTAATGGGTCCTCTTAAACTCCTCAACATGATGTCCCACAGCCTTAGGGATGGGCAGACATTAGAAACCTCATCTGTCCTTGTGAATGAAGCCAGGGATATGTAAGAGATGCAGGAGAAAGCCCTTCTTCAGTTCACAGGACAAAAAAAATCCCTAAAAAATGGTGAGAGGAACAAAAGGATCAGGCAACATGTGCTTGTTTTATGGCGATTCAGTCTGAAAGGGACATTCCCTCCTGAAACTGCAAACTAGTGACAAATTGCTGTGATTTTCAGACTGAAAACTGTCCAAGTCACATAAACCATAGTTTTTGTATTATGCTTTTAATTTTTTTAATCTCATTTTTACATAGGGTTTTTAAGTATGGGATGAATTATTTTCAATTATGTCTCATTTCTGCTGGCCCTGGCAGAGTGAAGTAGCAAGTGTCCAGCTTCACACTCAAGAGCTCCTGCAAGGGGACAACAAGGTTCATGACACTGATAGTCTCTCATTTAATGACATGGTGAATGGGAGTTGTGGCCAGAGTGCAGCAGTGTCTCTATAACTGAGATGGTGTTGCAAGGAATGCTAAATCCAGAAAGACGCGAGCACCCTCCCCTCACACTTTCCCTGGTTCGATGTCTGCTGGAAACACGCAGTTCATCCCTTTGTTTAAAAGGTTCAGGTAGCTTATTCTGATCACAGAGCATGAGGTGTTTGCCAGATCCTTGCTGCCAGACTCTCAGTGCATCTTGAGTTGTTTTGGAATCCATGGAATCTCAAGCCTAGAATAAGGTGCAAATCCAGGCATTCCTGGTAGTATTCAGCCTCCATGTTCTAAATGCTTCAGTACTACAGTTGTACATTCTGCAGTACTGAGTTAGGAAGGAATGGATGGTTCCTTTTATCCTTGGTCTTCTGTAAGTTGCTCTCCTAGACATTGGGATGGGAGAATGGGGTGGTGGAGAACATGAGTTGCAGATCTTTTACTGCTCTTCCAGACTGTGCAGGGAATCAACCAGATATGAAGGCAAGTTTAATGTATGTGCTGAGATACCTAATATAAGCCATGCAAACAAATCAGTCGTATGTTATCCAGATGGGACTGTTCAAATCCAATAATAGCAGTAAAGTGCTCTCGAACTCTGCAGAGAGAAAGATTATAGAAGGATCAGGTATAATTATAGTGCCTTATTAATACTGTTCTCATCATTCTTTCTAACAAAGCTTTTCAATAGGATGGAAAAACTTCTTGCAGAAGATCCTAATGTGTTTGCTGGCACAAACACATTAGGAAGGATTTTTTCATTCTTCCTTCCAAGGCTGTTCAAGTTAGCCTCTGTAAGTGGCGTTACTAAATATCATAATGACCTGTACTATATTTCAGATTAAGCCTTTTTCAGCATCTCTTAATGGCCTTGACTGCAGCAAACCCTTCTCCAGAAACACCTCACTGTTGCTACCTCTAAGAGCATCAGCAAAAATACCCTTGTGCTGCTCTGATCCTTGCCTTGATACAAGCCCTTCCAAGCAGAGTTAAGTAACACCCTTGAAATGAAATATTAGTGTCTGCAAGTGGCTAGTCTGTGTATTGCTCCATGTATTCCACCTGGAATATAGGTGGAATCATTCAGCAGGCATTCTCTACTTTGGAGAAAGTCATAGAGCTGGAGGTATATATTTGCAAGGTGTTCTCCCCTGTCCGAGTCCCGTCTCCTCTGAACACCAGCAGTGCTCGTGAGAAAAGCATCAGACTCAGACCACAGGCAAAATGGGTGAGGGAAACACACATCCCTGTCTGCAGGTTGGTCCTGTGGGCTGGCACCACTCAAGAGAAGGAAAAAAACCCTGGCATTTATTCAGCAGTGTCCCTTTCTCGATCACTGCAGATCTCTGGAAATACTGCTTTAAGAGGAGCCTGACAGTGCAAGGGAGCCAACTCACCTTGGAGGCACAGCCACACAGCAGGTCTGAAACCCAGCGTGGACTTCCCAGGGAGGGGATTTTTCACAGGAGGGAAGTCCCCGGCAGCACTTCCACTTCTGCAGTTCCCGCAGCTTAGGGAGCAACTTGCTATGGAGAAAAGCTGTCGGTGAGCATGTGGATGGTAGAAACTCTACCAACACATCTTGTTCTTAATCTGCAGCACACCCTGCATTGCCATCCTCATGGCCCTGATTTAGTGAATCCCTTGCACCTCTCTCAGCTTGGGGACATGCCTGTACCTGTACCCTGCGCCAAGTGTTGCAGTGCAGGACAGCATCTCTCCCAGGCTCTATGGCTCCATGCCCTGCTCACCTGCAAGTCCTGGGCAAACAAGGAGGTGAGGTGATGTGGTTTGAACAGATGCAGCAGTTTTGGAGGGGATGCATTAGGTTTATTTCTTGGACTGGAGGGAAGGGGTAATTTGCTGAAATGGATCTTTCTCATCTCGTCTCCCCTGAGCACCTTGAGAGAGCCTTGCTCTCAACTCAATGAAAGTAGGGCAGAGTCTAACCACATTTCAAGCTGTCTGTGTTTTTGGATTCTGGGTAGCTGTGATCTTTATCTGTTCCTAGAAAAGATTTAAACAACTTATAAACCACAGCTGGGCAGAGATAATAAAGGAAGCAGTACTGGGGTGGGGAAGGATTTCCCCAGAGTATACAGAGTGAGGAGAGAGTGGTCTGCAGGAGAAACCACGGGGCCAGCTGTGGTAGAGGGGCTTAGCATGGCTGCTTGGGCTGTAGGGGGACACAGAGTGGGTGCCTTTGGGAAACTTCAGCAGTATTAGTAGCTAGGTATAAAATGTGGGTATATGTGTATACATACATACATACATACATACATATATATATATATAGAGCAAGTGAAGATACAATTAGTCACAGAAGAAGGTGTCTGAACCCTGCTATGGTATCTATATAGTCTCAGCTCCATGCACTTGCTCCCGCTGAGGTTTGTGTCTCCATGCAGACAGGATATGCTTCCTCTTATACTCCAGGGTTTTTTGCATTTCGCATCCCTGTGGACCCACATCTGTCATCATGCACTTCTCCGGGGAAAGGAGGCCTCCTTCCATTGGAGGGGTTGGAGTGGTTTCAGGCTCAGTGCCTTATCTCCAGGCCCACAGGGAGGTTCACAAAACCCCTCCCAGGTCTCCCCATGGCCTGCAGCAGCCTTGGATGCTCCCAGTGTGCTCAGCAGTGGCCTGTAAGGGTTTGAAAAACAAAACCCAATTATGTTTCTCTTGCATTAGGTCAAAACTACAAATCCTTGTCCTGTAGTTCTGTCAGCCAGGAATGTAGACAGCAGGTGGGAAATTCAGAGGTAGGGAGGAAAACAGAATGAAACACATTTCTGTATTGGCAAAAATCCTAGCAGGGATGTGGTTCTTCCAGCACATGTTTTTGCCAGGATCCTTTATTTAGTTTTCATAGCCAGAATAGGGCCTGGTGGCAAAATGATGTTTTTCCACCCTAGGAGGGTGTGCTATTACAGCTGTATCAGCCTGCACATTCTCCACAGTCCACAATCAAAGCAAAGTTCAGGAATTAATAGAAAGAAAAAACAATATATTCACTTGCCAATGAGATACTTAGCTACTTAATCCTTTCCCAGCTTTCCTCCTGGGAGCTGGCAGAAGCCTGGAGTGCACGAGGAAAGCTGTGCCAATCTAAAGCGGGGTGTGAGTGCACTCAAGTGTCTGCTGTGGGGGTCCATGCTGGTTCCCAGGGTCACTGCAGCTGTGCTGCCTGTTCTACTTCCCAATGTCCTGAGCTGAAAAGCTCCTGCAGGCTGAAGAAAAGGTCCCAAAATGAAACCAAAAAGGGGAAGACGTTAAAAGGAAAAAGAAATAAAAACCAAAAGCCAGAAAAAAGGGAGAGAAAGAGCAGGGAAGGGAATGAGGTGGTTTGGGTGAAAGGGAGTGCAGGGACTTGAACAAGCTCAGAGGGAAGGAGCTTAGATTTGGAGTCAGCTGTGGGGCAGGCTTGGGCACCTGGGGGCAGTCAGAAACTGTTGCCAGGCCGCAGGGAGCTGGGGTTGGCACAGCTGACTGGCTCGAAGCAGGGCTGAGGCCCAAGGAGTTTTCCTGCACAGACAAGACCAGAAGGGCCATCTGGCGAGGCCATTGCTGGCAGGAACCAGTCCTGCAGCTCCCTTGCAACTGCTGCCATCTTGTCCAACATGATCCTCCCTGTGTGTGCCCTGCACAGGACCCAGCGCCTGCCAAACTTGCCCGCCTGCCCCCCTTCACCCCCAGCAGGGGGGATGCACAGCCCTTCACTCAGCACAGTTTCAGAGGCTGATGTGCACACCTCAAGGCATGCAGCTGGGTAGGAGCAGGGGCCCAGGGACTCCTGTTTTAGGAAAGCACTGCTGGCAGCATGCCCTGCTCCTACCCAGCATCCCACCCCCAGCATTTTTGCTGCTAATGTGAGAAAGTTTGGGCTGTTCGGGTTGTGGTGTTTAGGGGCTGGTGACATATCCTGTGACCGTGGGAGGGCTGTGTGCCTGCTACTCCCGTATTCATGCTCCCATGGGGGCTGTCGAGGTGTGTGAGTCTGTGGCTGTTTGTGGGGACACTCCTTTGAGCCTGCTCCTGCTGAAGCAACCACAGCAAGCTGAACACCATTACCAGCCCCTTAACTAATGCAGCATCACTGGTCAGTGACATGAAATAGGTACTTGGGCTTTGCTCGTGGTGGCAAGCACCCACGTGTGGTGCCAAGAGGCCTCTGCAAGCTGACAATTGTCATTCATAATAAAACTGTGCTCCTCACTAGCACTGGCAGGGGTTTCCAGAGCACCCTGGGCATAGAAGGGATGGCTTGTGAGGGCGGAGGCGGTGCCAGGGCTGGAGGCAGTGCTGCCAGCAGCTCCCTGTGCTTTGCCCCCCGGCTGGGGGCTGCTGCCCCCCAAAAGGGCTGAGCAGGAGGGACTCGGCTGCCGCTGCCAGAGAGGGCTGCGAGGGGAGTGTCCGGCGGTGGGGCAGGAGGCGTGCGGGGGATGGCTGGGCTGGGCTGGGCTGCTGCGGGACAGTGACCTCTGGCGCAGGGAGCGGCGCCGAGGGCAGGACACAGCGGGGCTGGGTTACACCCGCGGCAGAGCGGTTCATTTTCCTTTTCCACACCCCGACTGCTGCCGTCTGCTGCTCGTGCCTGACGGGCGAACTGCAGTCTCTGCTGCTTGCCGAGTAAAAGTTGTTCCTCGAGCTGTTGATTACGGTTAATTAGCATTAATTTTGCCTTAAGTAGATCCCAGTTGTGCTCGTTTTCTCCATCTCCTCCGGCCCCCCGGTGCCCTGGGCCCGTGGTGGGCGGGCGGGCGCGGAAGGAGGGAGGGGGCGGCCGGGGCGGCGGCGCCATCTTGTGGGCGAGGGCGCGGGTCGGCGTGAGCGGCCGCCGCCCGTCCCTGCCCGCCCCGCCGGACCGGGCTCGGTGTGCCCCGCTCGGCCTTCCGCAGGGGCCGGGGAGGGCTGCCCGGGGCAAGAGTTAACCCCTGACATGGCCAGCTCCGCCCTGGCCTCGCGTCAGCCCCAGGCTCGGCCAGGTAGATGTTCTTCTGGGAGGTGTCACCCTGAGCAGGCAAAGCTCTCCCACCAGGCGCATTCCCGCTGGCCACAGCTTGCCGCAAAAGGAGCCAGTGAAGGAGAACGGGTGGGATTCACCGCGTGGCCGAGGCACGGCTCTGAAGAGTGCGTCGGGCCTGTGGTGGTAACTTAGTCCCTGGGAATCTTTCCAGCAGGTGAGCAGAGAAAAAGCAGGAGTAGGTGATTTCTGAGGCAGACTTGTTTTGCTGGTGAAAGGGAATTAGAGAACTGTCCCCTCCATTCCCCATGGTGGTGTCAACACCTCTAATTTTTGTTTTCCCATCAAGTCACTGATAATTCTCTTCCCTACAGCATTTCAGTGGTAGAAATGTAGTGAGGCATTGGCAGCTTTTACCTCAGCATCATCCAGCCCTGCTGAGAGGCACTCGACACACAACAGTGGTAAAAATGCTGGCAGGGGTAGGGTCCTGCTCATGCTGGCTGTGCTATCACTCCTGCTGCCAGACAGGGGGAAACTCTACGCCTTGGAGTCTGAGGTTAGATGAGTCAAAGAGATTGTGAATCCTCAGAGGTGCACGTGTTGCCACTGGCTGGCTTTCCAGCCATGGGGGTTTGAGCTCTGACAAGGCAGTAAACCCAGAGCTGCTGTGCTGGGGAATGCTCTGAAGCGCTCTGTGCAATCAGGCTCGCTGAGCTGCTGCAGCTTTTCTGTGTGCCAAGTGGTGTTTCTCTTTTGGATGGTTGTGGTGTTAAACGCTTCAGCAGTAAAGAGGCTTTGTTGTGGTCTCTGCAGCATTGCTTTTGCCTTGGCTAGCAGCAGCCTTTTTGTTTGAATTAATGCTTTCCCTGGAGTTGGCTGTGGGGGCATGTGTGGGCTCGTGTGTGTGTCTTGACTTGTGGGTGTACATTGGACACAGCTGTGAACAGGCACTTCTGGTAGGTGCAGTACTTGCCCAAACTTGTTGTTCATGCCTGCCGGAACAACATGCTTTTCCTCACTGTTGGGAATACTGGCCACTATTGTGGGCTTTTTAAAGTGCTTGAGTGAAATTAATATCCATTTTTCAATTACAGGCAGAAGCTGCCTTGAATCTACCCCAATCCTGTATTTAATTTCAGGAAGTGTCAGCATTCACTGCATCAAAAGAAGGACCAAGCTATACAGGTCCTGGGTGGTGGGTTTACAACTGGCCAGGCTGTTCTCATCATACTGTAGGGACTGGCTCACATGCACCAATGTACTGTATAATGCATAAATGAAGGTCATACAATGACCCATTCCTTTGGAGCTTCTTAATTTATTTCCTTTGGCACAGGTATCCTGGTTAGTTCCACCTAAGTTTTGGGGTGATCCATTCGGTCCTGCTACTGGCTGGTAATAGCAGCTCCCCAGCTTTTCCTCATCTTCCTTCCATTTATGTCTCCAGGGTTAAAACTCAGTTCAGAATCCCCAGACCAAATTGAATTAGAATTTAACATTCAAAGATTCAGGCTCCCTTTAGGCTCTAAGGAACAGAATGTCATCCTGTCTCGCAGTTAATAGCTGCTGGGTAGTCGTTTCAAAGCCATTTCTTTTCAGTGAGCTCTACCATAGCAAATCCCAGCAGTGAATGTATTTCTGGCCTGGCTGTGCCTTTAATCCCACAGCTGAGTCTTATGTGTGATCTCTTTTGAAATGCTAGACTTTTTTTTTTTAAATTCCAGACAGCGATATTTCTAGGACTTGGTATTTTGAATGGCAACAGGATTGTTTATAGGAAGAGAACAGAAAGGACTGAAGGATGATGTTGACCTAGCAGCCCTACAAACCTATCACACTTAATCCACTTATCACCCTGAATTCCTGAAGCAGATAAATGCTGATAACAGTTAAAACACATCACTGGCAGGAGCAGCCTGTTCTGTCCTCTAGAAATACATCAATACTGGAAATTACAAAGCTGTGTGCTACCATGGGGATGAGCATGATATAAGAGCTGAGGAAGCCCTCACTATTCGGTGGAGTTCTTCCACAGGGAGGTAGTGAGCCTCTGCTTCCTCTCTCTCCCTGCCCCAACTACCTTGAGATGCTGTTCAGGCCTGAGAAAGGCTTCTGAATACAATGGTGACCCCAGAGTCACAGCTGCCTGATCTGTGCCTCCATATCTGAAATACCAAGTGGGCCCCAAGTGTCTTGTTACTGCTTTTGATTGTCCTTGCTGCTCAGCGTTAAGACCTGTGAGGAGCGATTTCCAGCTGAGACCAGCCCCGTTGCAGCTCACATCAGCATGGCTTGGGGAGAGGAGTTGGTTTTGGCTAATCTGAGCTAAACCTTCCCTGGAGGAGTGCAGCTGCTGCACCAGCCTTGCAGAGCCACACAAAACCACTTTCTCCTCTCCCCATCTGTCAGGGCTCTCAGAGAGGTACTGGAGTCATCCCTGGGTGTCATGCAGCTACATGCCTCCCCCTGTGTCAAGACCCCTTCCTCCTGGGGGCCTGTCCCAGGTTGAACAGGAGGAAGAATGCTGTAAACCAGATGTTGTTTGGAGTAAACCTTGTTCCTACAAAGTCTGGAGGCATAAAACACCTGATAGTGCTTTTGAATACCTGAAGCTTTCAGGCTCATCTGCTGCCTTAGGTCTTTCCCCACATGACCATCCCCCACCAGTCTCTGCAGCACAGCACCCCATGTGAATGGGTACCCTTGAAGTTGCAGTAAAGTGCTTTCTTGTGGACAGTGCAAGAAGTGTGAAAGGAGGAAGCTGTCTAAAGAGAAGACCTCTCACCCACTGGAGTTTTTATGAGTCAGATGCTGCTCAGCTGTTGCATTGCAGATGTCTTAGCTAAAAACAAGTGTTCATTGAAAATCAAAGACTCTTCATGAGTATAGGCGGCAGGAGCCTCCCACAAAACGTGGTTTTTCTTCTTCAAAGGGCTCTCCTTAGATTTGCCTACAATAGATTACTTAAAGCTTGCCTGCATTGTGATGCTGATTCAGAGCCAGCATGGTGTAGATCTGAAACGGTCCAGCTGTTGGGATGAATTCGCTGTCTGGCTGTTCTCACTTTGTGAATGTGAGTGCCTTCCTCAAGGGACCTACTGGAGAAGCTGGCTGTAGAGGGACGTTTTGTGGAGTCGGGGTACAGTAGAGCCTTTGCTCTGTACGACTATTCATACGTGTACTGGTTTTCTGTGTTGAAGGCAAAACAGGTGATCCCATGCTTTGTGGAATGTGACAGTTCGCTGCAAATGCATGTGATATTTTACAGTCATCAGGAAGCAAACTGTGTGTTGAAGTGCTTGTGGCTTAGTCTTTGGACACCCGCTAGTGGGTCTAACACCATCGTTGTTGTACAGAGAAGTCAACCCTGGTGTGGGGAGGAGTCTGACCAAAAAGCAGAAGAGGTTGCATCTGCCAGGAACTGCTTGCCAAATGCAGTGTGTGTACATCTTGCCTGTCGCTTCGCAAACAGGAGGCGATCAACCAGCTGCCTTGGCATGACAATACCTGACAAACCCCCACCTCCTTTGCCTTTTGGATCTTTATTTCTGGTTGCATTCTTACAGCCTTTGACCCCCCCATCATGATCCCAGATCTAAAAGTCATCTTCCTGTTTCTTTGGTTGCTTCAGTATGGAGGTAAACAAATATTTTCTTTTTAATTCCTTTTGTTTACTCTCATGTTTTGCATATTAGAGCAGTTCCAGCTGCTATCTTTTGCTAATTTCCAGAGATCCCCTCTAGGAATTTGCACGCTGCTGCTATTTCTGTCTTTTAAGCATTTCAAAGCTAAGAGAGTGAATCCTCAAGAAAGGGGGAACATGGGAGAAGGGTTAGATAACCTAAATAAAATGTCTTAGCTTTTTCCTTGGTATGTTCTTTTCAACCTAGTGGCTTCTGGGATAATATGAGAAGATGGATCTCTCCTCTCTTTTGTTACAGTAGTGCTTAGCTGTATCTTATATAGAAATTATATTCATGTGTGTTCCGCTATGTAGAGATGAGGAGAAGGATGATGAATGATTTTGAAAAATATGGCCCAGAATAAAACACTTGAGTTATCACTCCCACAGTGTCTGCAGGATTTTGTTACTACCTTTCCATAATATTGTAACTAGTGTACACAGGCCTGAGCGTGTCCCTGAGGACTGTACTGTATCTCAGTTGCTTTTACAGCCAAGAACCTTTCTCTGGCATTGTAACCTGAGCTCTTCTTTACTGTCAGGCTGTTGTCCCTGGCTATGTGATCTGTAGAGAATTTTTCTTAACATATGGTACTTCCCAGCAGTCTTTTCTGGGCCGTAGCTGTGCCCTCTCTCCATTGTTGTCCCCCATCACAAATCCTCAGCGCTCAGCACTCTGCAGTGCTAAGCCTGAATTGCTTTTCCAATGCCAGCTCCTGCTGTGCTGAGGTGACGCTGCTGTTGTGATGCAGCGTTAGTCCATGGTGACAGAAAAGCAAGCCTGGCTGTGCTCTGGGACAGCTTTAATACCTTGTTATGAGCCTGTTCATAAATGCAGAACTCCAGGGAATCCCATCAAAAGCATAAATGGAAAAGCCTGCCCATCCCCTACTTTCTCTCTCTAGCCTTTTTTCCCCTCTTCTCTTCATATCTCTGAAAGAATCCTTCATTTTGTGAGCAGACTTATAAGTTTCCAGTTCCCTTTCTCAAAGAGTCTCCTCTTAAGTTGCTTTATATGTGGTGTTATATCAGCTGACAAATAAATAGATCCGGAGACTGCCTGATATCAAACCCAGATTTGGCTGGGAACCAAAGAAGTCCTGTACCCCAGCTTCCTTACTAGCCTGTGGCTGACTCTTAGGTTTTTTTTTCTTTGTATTAAACAAAACAGCAAGTGAACTGTGATGTGGTTCCTCATCTTATTTGTACCTTCTTTTAACTTCTGACATCATTGTCTACTGAGTTACAGTGATAGATCACTTTAAACTGCCATGTATGTATTGGGAGGAAGCATATGAAGGGCATGCTCTCATCTCTGCCTAAGATACTGTCATGTATGAATACTTAAGATCTACAGATAGTTCCTATAGCTAACACTGAGGTTTGTGCTTTGCTCCCATTTTAGAGCAGCAAAGGTTTGGAGTGATTTATTTATTTCTCATGGCCTTGGTGCTGGCCCCTATATGGAATATACCACCTCCTTCCTCACTTGCTTTTCAGAAATATACAGTCCCATTGATAACACCTGCTTGCATACAACACCTTTGCTGCCCCAGAGCCATCACACGGCCAAGGTTTATACACTGGGAGTTTCAGGAGATGTCCAGCTAGCATTTATCTTAGAAAATTGCTTTCTGTTCACCTGCTGTAAATACGTTCATACACCACTGCAAAATCAGTTCACTTCCTGCTTAATTTCCTGTCTTTCTGCGTGCTGCTGTTGTATGGAGGAGCTCACGAGAGAAAAGGGGAAGCCTGTGAATGCAGCAGGCTATCGTGGATCAGACAGCAATTACCCAAGAGAAGTGGCAGATCACACAGGGCACATGCTCTGAATCACTCAGCTTCTGACAAGGGCCAACACGGCATGCTACAGGCGTGCTTCCTGGTGTATGGTTATTTTCAGAGTGATCCTGTCTTTGGGGCAGCTGTCCTCTCCTTACTAAAAGTGAGGTTAGGTTTCTGCTAACAATTATTACCCTTACAGGAGGAAATGTCGATGTACAGCAGAAACCTCCAATCCAGGTTGCCTTGCTCAAGGAAGGAATATCCATCCCCTGTAAAGTCATCTTCCCTTACATGCCAAAATACACCAAATTTTCAATCTCCTATTACTGGATTAATTCACTGGATCAGAAGACATCCATCTATAGTAGGTTGGAAAACGTAGTCATTCCTTCTGGAGAAGAGAATAAGACTGCTGCCTTATCTTATAACTACAGAATCATGCCACTTGAAAACACCTCTTCTACTGGCACGTATTACTGCAAGGTCATGTGGAATGATATCCAAAAAATGGGAAAGGGAGTGTTTGTCCTTATTAGAGGTAAGTGAACAACCAGAAAGGAAGGTTAGGAGGTTAAAAATCAGCTGTATCTGGCTATGGAAACCTGATCTTTGCTCTTTGTTTTCTCTGTCCACACATGCTGTGAAGTGAGGTAGGAATAATGTTTTATGCCTAATACTAATTGCCATCAGAGTTGAAATGCACTTGGCACAGGTGTTCTGTTGTTCCCAATGCATAGATGGGAACATGAAGAGGCAGTAATTTATATCTGCCCTGCCACATGGGAATCTGGATCTATCCAGGGAGCCTGGGCACTGGGTCAGACAGTGCTTTTAGGTGTCAGTGTTCAGGAGACAGCGTGGTTTGTCCTTCAGCAGTGTGACAGAGGCAGCTGATAAGGTCACTCATTAGGGTGCTTGCTGTTATCACATGTACAGGTTCAGCAGTCTCAGTTTTAGGGACTCACAAACAGGTCATGGCCTCACTGACATGCCTCCCTCTTTTCCATTTGGTACAGGGAGTTGGTTGGTCTGTTAATGAGCACACTAGAAGGCAGTGGAAAGCTTGATACAACGTAAGAGGAATGTTAAAGAAAAGTGATAAGGATGTGCATTAATGACTGTTGGATATGAAGAAATTGTTAATGTAAATGCAAAGAGCTGTGATGAAGTAGCTTTGTGATACTGGTCAGAGGATGCCTAGAGTACTCATCCTCCCAGTTCATGTGGCCTGTGTGCATTCCAACATCTGTCTTTTTGCTCCTATCACAAAAGACCTTTGCTAGCCTCTATCTACCAAATTTCTTGTCTCATATCACCTCTGTCTATGAAGTAGAGCTGCTTATACCTTGCATCTTCTGTGTGATTCTGCAGCTCCACCCTGCTCTCTGTTCAGTCAGAGTATGTTTTGAAGGGTGTGTGCATTTCTGCCACCATATTCTATACTTCCTGTATTTTAGTTTTCTCAAGGCTTTTTCCAGGATTAAAAATACAGCAGGGTTGTAGTTTCCACTCACACTGTGAACTTTTTGCCTTCTTTCTTACAGATACAGGATATATAAATACCTCTTATGTGTGGGAAATCCTCATTACCCTTACTGTTCTTCTTGCTGTATTGAGCATCACTGCAACAGCTCTGCTTCTGTGGAAAAGAAAGGCAAGTAATAACCAAATAAAAAGCAATACCTGATGTATTCTAGGAATTAATTCCATTTACTTCTAACTGAGCTGAATTGGAAGTCTCCATGCTGGGCGTCTCATCCAGTTTATTTTCTTAAGTTCAGTTTTTCTGAGAAGAAAAGATGATAGGAAAGACAAAACCAGTAAGTGATTTGCCCATTAAAGAAATTCTGGCGATCATTTTGACTACACCATGCTCTGCTTTAGGGCAAGGATTTGACACAGGGCAAGAAGGCACACTAGCAGTGTGCTGGCTGTGAAAATATTCAAGGAGATGTGGCCTTGTGCTGGGATTTTGGAAAATTGCAGTTTGTGCATACTCAGTCATGGCTTTTGTCAATTTACCAGTTCAATTATCTAAAACCCCTGTTAAAGGGCCAGTTAGACAAGTAATGTCCTGTGCACTCAAGCAAATCTGTTACAACCCTGATAGCAGGACTTTCCCTATTTCTAATCCTCTTTCAAGATGGAGGTTACTCTTTCAAAGAAACTGCAGCTGCATTCCTGAGCTTGGGCATCACAGCAAAAAAAACTCTGTACTGTGATGGGGATGGGGACCAAAGCCTTTGCCATCCGTTTGGCAGAGAAAACATTAAGAGACAGAGTGAGAGGGGAAGGTCAGGACAGAAGCCTGTGTGAAAATTACAAAAAACTGGGAAAAAAAAAGAAAAAAAAGATAAAGGGACAAGGATTGGACTATACAATCTCAGGGACACCTTCCATTATCAGTGGTTCTGTGAGGCTGGAAGAATGAGCGTCTGGGGAGAAACTGGGACTGGGCTCTGGAATAATGAAGCACTAGAAGGGTGTTAAGACTGGAATGCCAGAGCCCCTTGGGTGGGCAGACTAGTGTCCCATGTTGGGACTTCCTGGGTAAGGAAGGGGAATCTAGGAAGCTGAGGGCAAAGGGGATGCCAGGAGTGGGGAGGAAAGGATTTGAAGAGTGAGAGAAGAAAAGCCAAAAGCAGAGCTAGAAGATCTGGATGAGATGGACACTGTGGAAAAACCATCTGGAGTCATGATATTGGAATCCCTGTTGTTTGGGGAAAATAACTGCTTCTAGTACTGCCACCCCTCAGATGTTCCAATAGCATCATCTACATTCTTCCAGAGATCTCCAGATCTCCAGAGACTGGCTTAAAAATACCCTTACATCTTCTAGAATGGAATTTGGGATTGTTGGTTTCTAGGTAGAGTATGCCCCATAACTCCTTGAAGCTGCTCTCCACCACCACAACAGCAGAGTCTCTGCATGCTCTTTTATGTGGAGGCTGTGCTGCGTGTACAGTCAGTCCTTCGACTCCAAAGAGGATCAGGTTTCAGCACACACAGTCAGAGATCATGAGGCTGAAAACAGAACAGCAGCATTTGGCAGCCTGGCTAATCTCGTGAGACTTATCTTGCAGGCAGTCTGATGTGGGGGAAGGAGTGTACGAGGCAAAGGGAGTCAGCTGGAGACAGGCCCCCATCTCTGTTTGCCTAGAGAGTGTCTCTATGGGGATGAGATGGGGAGGCACTGTCACGACTCACCAATTGGCATCTCTGGGTTTTGAGGTGGGCCAGTGAATCTCAGACTTATGGCCTCTCCTTGGGGTCTGAAGAGATTGTGCAGTCATTACATTTGCCCTCCTGCAGAACACAGCCCGTATTTCTCACCACAGCTTGCTCAGACCTGCTGGTTTAAAAATGTTTATCTTTAAGAGAAGCTATTTAGCATCCTCCTTAGTTACTAATGGACTGGAAAGCAGTTTGTCGTTTTCATGTGATGTGAATATAATCATCCCACTTCTTTCTGAATTAGAACAGAGATACTTAGCAAAGCCTTCTGCTTTTTCTGCCTCTTCTCTTGCTTGCTGAGCAGGGCTAACCCGTATCTGTGTGTGAATGGAATGTGTTCAAGGACAACTCATCTGATGCAAGAAACATTCAGACGAAGGGACCTTCTTCCTTCAACTCTATGCTGGACTTGTTCATCCATGTATCACTTACTAGATGTCACCATTAATGATTGTTTGATGCTCTTCTGTAGACTCTCTGTATTAGGAAAAGCTTCCTTGCCAAATCCTGATAAAAGTAATTGCATTTTGCCTCTCTGAAATTCCTCTCTGCACTATGACCAGTGCCCTGCTTTAGCATGGTTTTGTGCTGCTCAATATTTACACCTTTCAGCTAGTAAGGTTTCAGTGGTGAAAGTGCTTTATATGTACACACAAAGCCCAGTTCTCCTTTCCAGTGTAAGTCACTGGATTCTACACTTAACCATGTAGTGAGGAAAGTAACCAGCACGTGTTATACAAACACTGCCAACACTCTTGTGAAAGGATTCAGGAGGTGTGCAAACAGCTGGCTTTGATATGACATTGGTATTCATTTTCGCTTTGGGGAGGGACATGTGGTTTTCTCCAAATGTGTCATTTGGTGTCTTGTACTGAGCAGGTGTTGTGCCCTAGAAGGAGCCAGCCAAATATCCTGAGACAGAAGGTGGAAACACAGCTCCCTTCAGCCAGCCCACCACCACTACCACCTCCTGTCTATGATGTGAGTACCAGAATCACCCTTCATCTCTTCTGTCCACATCACGGTACAACCCTTCCTTTCCCTGCCATAGTAGAGACAATGTCATGATGTGAATCATAAGCAATACCTTCATACCAGCCTGGTCTTGGTGACCTTGCCCTGCTTAGCTTCTCTCAGGACTGGGTGTGTCTCCATCCCAGTCCCAGTCACGGCCTCCTCAGTGCCCAAGCCTTGCCCCATGACCTGCTGAGCAGCACCTTTCCCTCTGCCAGCGGCACAGAGCAGCAAGTGTGGGGCCGGGGAGAGTTCCTGGTGGAAGAGGTAGAAGGGTCTCCAAAAGTCAGGAAGGAAGAAGGACTCTCAGCCCCACTTTGTACTGCAGAGTGTCATGAGGGCATGCCCTTCCCAGCTGGAGAATGATGCCTCAGAAAAGGGGCAGAGACATGATGCCCTGACCAACCCCCAGCTGTTTTGGGCCTCTGCTGTGTCACCTTCACTGGTGTCAGTGTCACAGACCAGTGAAGTCCTGAGCAGACACACTAGCTAGCAGGGGGAAATGGGCAAGAAGAAAGTAAAGAGTTTCTTTTTTTAAGCATTTCTCTTTTCATTGTATAGGATCTCCTTTTCCATTTCCCAAATTGCTCCCACTCCTTGAGTCCAGTAGCCACAGTGTCGTAGGTAGTAGGATTGAAGTGACTCCCCTGAAATTTCAGACCTAGACCTCAGCTACCTCAAGTAACCATGACTCCTAATCCCATTTACAACCTGTTGTCCAGCTCCATTTGATATGGACTCCTTTCTCTCTTTTTACTCCCATGGGATGGCTGCTCCACTAAGGGAAGGGTTTGGTATTTTTTTTTTCTTGTGACCTGTGGGACCAACGAGGAGGAATAAAATGAAATGAGTAGAGAAGGATGTTGCCTGAATATTAGGAAATGTTTCTGTCTTTGAGGTCTATAAGGGCTGGAAAAGTCTCTCCAAGGACAACCTGTGAGGTCTGCTGCATTAAAACTAAATCATTTAAACTAAACAAAGTGAAGCTCGGAAGAATGTACTACAGAGAGGAGCAAAGTTCTGCTAGGGAGGCATGAGACCTGATCAGCAGCAGATACCTACAAGAGGATGGGCCTGCCCCTTCTCATTCTTACTCTGGGGGGGGGGGGGGGGGGGGGGGGGGGGCGGCGGCGCACTATTTTGTGGCCCTTTAATTTTTGGAGTTGTGGTTTAAAAGAGAGCACTGTGTATTGTATGTGATGTGTTTATTCAGGGCAAAAGGCAATGCTTTGGTAAAGGAGGTTGCAAGTTATAAACCTTTTCATTTGTATCAAGTAATTTCTTTTTAATTCAGGCTTATAAAAATCCAAATGGGTAGTTTCCTGCTGAAGTGGATGATTTCTGCAAGGAGACAAAAAAATTCAAATCCATTTCTCGCTCAGTCGGCCTCGTCATGCATCCTTAGCTCCATCTTAATTACATGTTTCATCATGTTATTCTGTTCAGGCTCCACTTACAGCAAGCCAGCAGAGCCAGCCTTAGGCACAGGCAATCGCAGGAGCTGGCTGAGCCCCTGTGCTTGCAGGAGCCCTATGGACCTGGCCCAAGAAGCCTTCCTGTGAAGCCTGTTAACCACACACCAGCTGTTCAGGGCTCCTGGCCAGCCCGGTGTGCAGGGCAGGTGGCTTGGCCCTCTTTGGCAGGGCTGCAAACAGCCTGGGACCATCTCCTGCATGCTGGGGTGTATGAGTCTGCCCATGGGAGTTTCCTGTTGTGGAGCAACCGCTGCAGTAGGGAAGCTCGAAGCAGCAACTCCTGCTCCAGACGAGGCCCTGAGAGCCTGGCTGTGATGTGGAGAGCAGCAAGAACAGCCCTGCAAGGCATAATGGACACGGGAGGAGAGAGGGTGGGAGCCCTGGGATTGAAACCTGCATTGGATGGGCCCTTAGGACGGATGAAGGGAATAGAAAGTTGACAAACCTTATTTCCTTTGAATAATAAATCTGGTGCCCTGCACCTCAATTTTGTTGGGACTCTGCATGGTGTAAACTCAACCCTGCAAACTGTGCTTGAAACTAAGTGAGTTGTGAAAATCTATTGGTGGGTGTTGAACTCAGTGCTTAATTCATGGGGATGGAAAAAATCTTTGATCAGCATTGGGGTAATCTAACGCAAGGAAAAAAAGGAAGGACGAGTGAGAAGTAACTCCCAGTGATGAGATAAAGAAGGAGGTCAGAGATCAGGGGCTGGACAGGAGGACAGCACGTGCTAGCTAAGCTATCTAGACAGGAAAGTAAGAGGTTGGAGTTTGGAGGAAGGTGAGGCTAGAGAAGCACAGTGTCCTTGCAGGTCTGAAGCAAGAGGAGGCGGCACTGGACGTCAAAGTAACAGATGCTGTTGGAACTGGCTGGCACAGCTCATTAAATGCTCTGTGTTATCCTACATGGTAGCAGGGCTTATCACTGGTGTGGGAAGGGTCCTAACACGCCTTCTGCAAAGCTGTCCTGCTGAACATTCCTGGGAGAAAATACCTTCCCCTGTGGCTCTTCATGTGCCACCATGTATTTTGTGGTCCCTGGGGGGATATGCAGGGAAAAGCATACAAGGTAGCAAAAAGGCTGGTAATAAGGGGGCAGCTGGGAACCCACTTGTTCTCTCTACACTGCCTTCTTGACCTCTCTGTCCTCCTACAGTTGTAGCTCTACCTCACTGCACTGCTCAGTTAATGAGCAGCTTGGAAATAACAATCTGAGGGACTTGCCTCATCTGCTTTACACTTCAAACAAGCTTTTTTGAGCAGCAAACAGAGCTCCTGCAGTGCAGGTGCAGTCAGGTTCCAGAGCACAGGAGCTTTTCCAGGTGTGAGGGAGACAGGAGGCTGCTCAGGGATAGGAAAGCATCTGTCAGCAGCGAAGAGTGGCCTGTGTGCCTTCACTGTGACAGTAGCAGGTGATCGGTGACCAAGTAAAAGTAATTAACTTGCAAATGGTGGCTGGAGACACCAGCTCTCCCCCTGACCAGAAAAAGACCAGAATTGTTAACAGCCTGCATGGGAAGAAGGCATGTGGAAGGAAGGGAATCTTTTCTGTCAGTAGCTTCAGAGTGAAGTAGAGAAAGAGGCTGCCTGTCCTGCCAAGAGGATATGGAGCCAGGCTTCTGGAAGCTCAGCACACAAGACTATGTCCTCACTGTGAGTATCGCAAGGGGAATTGAAAGTGAGTGTGGGGAAGTAGAATTTTCTGTGTGCACATGTGCATGTGCAAATGGTGGGAGTCTGAGTAGGCAAAGCAGGTTTTTGGGAGCAGGAAGACAGGTGAAATAATTTGACTGTTTCCAGAGTAGCAGTGGGAATGTGAGAGCCTTTCACTGTGGCCAACTCATGTCGTAGTGCCTGTTTATTCCAAGACTCACTCCCCAGTGCTGCCTCTATCTTCTGTCCCTGTTCAAAGCATTGTCCTGCTGGCCATGATCCTTAAAGATGCTGAGAGTTTGCAACTCTGCATGAAATTATGAGGGTTCAAGTAATTGGCAGCCCCCAATGAAGCCTCCATGTTTTACTCATCCTTCTCACTGCATTACAGGGTGTCTTGCTCTCTCCACTAATACCATCTGCCCCTCTTGCTGCCAGAGCTCCTCCCATATTCCTGTTGCCAGAGAAACAGCCACCTTGGCAACCTGCTGTCATCCTTGAAACACACATGGAAAAGTCCTCATGATTGTTATGTTTGATCCTTCAGGCAGATCTGGAATATCACTCAAACTGACATGCATCTCCTGTGACACAATTACCTGGGGGACAATGAGTGCATATGCATGCAGGGCGTGTGTGTGTTTCTCTGTGTAGCTGAGTGGGACCATGGTAATGTTTGAGGGCCTGGGAGCATATGGATTTTTTTATTATTCTTTGCTCACTCAAAGAAGAAAGGAGAGTTCTGGCTTGAAAAAAAAAAAACAAACCTATAAACAGAATTGTGTTCATTTAAACACAATAAACAGAAATTGTCTTCATTTTTGACAGCTTCTGTGCTTCAGGACCCCCAGCCTCTCCTGTTTTCTCACCTTTGTCCCCAGAATAATCATGAACAAGAACTTGTGGTTGTCAGGCACCTAAACAGTCTTGGGTGGTGCAGAGCACTGCCTCTTACCTGTGGTCACCCTGGTGCACAACTTTACATTCTGGGACAATTTTGGAGCAGAGGGAGGCAGGGACATTGGCATTCTTCTCCACTGCCTTATACAGCGTAGGCAACATCAAAGCCTGTCTCTGTAAGCCTGAAAAAAAGAAGATGCAGCTGCACTGTAGGGATTTCAGGGGAAAAGGATTTTCTGTTTGCCCAAGTTAAGGTCAGGAACTTCAAAATTTTAGAGATGGCAGGGATCCCTAAAAAATATCAGGCATGATATGGGGAGCAACCCAGTGGGTAATTAGTTTTTTTAAAACGAAGTATTTTATTTGATGCCTTCTCTCTCTGTGTGTAGAGCCTGGATGTGCAGCGAGTTGATGTCTATTCTAGCCTCGAGAACAACACAAACAACCCATCACACAGAAAGAATCCTCCAAGGAAGGTAAGGGCAAGGGCCATGTTCTTGGAAAGTTCTCATATGCCCTGGGCACCTGGGGGAGGAAACCTCACATTGTCTCATGACCTAGCAGGCAGTAAATGTGTCTGCAGTCCCACCAAAAGGAGGAAATGAGATGTGGCATGCACTCAGAAGCTGGGCTGCACATGTAGCCTCTCTTCTCTCTTCCAGCAGAACCCTGGCCCCTGCAGCTCTACCAGTCCTGGCGCTCACAGTTTTGTGCAGATGTTTTGCTGTATGACGTATGCTGAAAGGCACCGAGGGGTTTGGCATCACTGCTCCCTCTGAACAAGATGGGCATTCATGGAAAGTTGGGCAGGTGCTGGTCCTGTTATTGCCCTTTCCAGATTATTTAGGCAGCTGAGACATCCTCTGAGCTGAAGGAAACTGTGCACCAACAGCACACCCTGAACACAACTTTCCTCTCACCAGAATTAAGCACCTGAGAGCCATTTCATGGTAGCAGAAGCTAAGATGGTTTGAGCAGAGGCTGGGCTTGTACAATCTCTGCTGTCAGCTCTGTGCTCAAGAAAAGGCAGTGTGGGTATTTTTTGGACTTGGATCTTCTTGTTGGGCTGAGAATTATGAGAGACAAGGAACTAAATTCACTCATAGTGAAAATAGAAGCAACTAGGAATATGCAGGTGTAAATCAGTTGTGGGGGTCACATGAAGCAGATCAGAAGCTCACACAGCCTTCTACCCTGCCTTTGGTAGGCATCAGCTGTTTCTTATGGACGAAACTTGCACCAGGCACCCCAGGAAACATTTCCTTCCTGTCCTCAGAACCTAATTTTTCTTTTCTTCTCAAGACCTCTTATCTGCTTAAAAAAATATATCCTCTTCCAATGCTAGAAGATGTTCCTGGAAAACATCTGCTGCTCTCTCCTATTAATGTTCTGTTGGGGAGAGTTTCCTTGGTTGCACCAGCCCTCTCTTTCATGAAGGACATGTATCCGAGACATTTTCACAACTCCCACCTTTTAGGAAAAGGTGGTCTAAAATCAAGCAGCCCCCTTTGTGTCAGAGCTATTTGTTGTGTGATCTGGTCCCATGGCCACTGGCCTCCTCCAGTTACTGCTGTGACACTACCATGGCGGTGGTAGCAATAGCAGTGGCAGGTTCCTGGTTCTTGAGGGGAAGGATGGGTTGATATATTTGGGCTTGTCTTATATGATGCACTGGAAAAGACAGCATCCCTGCATTTGTGTTTTGCTGCATTTTGAATTATTTGGATAGGGGCTCTCTTTCTGATCCTGTTTGTTTTTCTGTATACCTTTACCAGCTGCTCCCTCTGAAATGATTCAATCTGGATGGTAAGATGAAGTATGTGTGGGGTTTTTCCCTACAAGGGAGCTGTCTAGACTGTGCTGATTTACTTGTGTATGGCCCACGCCATTCAACTGCTGCTTGGAGGGACAGAGGGTCTGTAAAACAGAGCAGCAACAAAGCAACAGCAGAGGAACATCTGTGTGTGAGTGGGTCTGGCACTGGCAGCCTCGGCCAGGGTGGGGTAGAGGTCAAAGCAGAGATGGGAGAAAGAGAGGAGAAGAAAGCAGAGAGGGGATGGGATGAACTCTCACAGTGAGGGCAGACAACAAGTGTCCTCAGTTCTTGTGGTGGTCTGGAGGAAGGGAAGGTGAGTAGCACGGATCCCATGAGCTCAGCACTGGAGAGTTTGCACTATCCACTATGGTTGGAAGCACTTTGATCAGCTTCCCTCAGTCATCCTGGGCTGTGACCACTTGAGATACTTGTCCTCCAGCTCTCTTTGCCAGAATATAGGAGGATGTTTTCCATAAGAGTGAGACTTATGGGTCAGTGGGTTTGGCCTGTGAGTGGGAGCTGAGATTGCTGAACTCACTGTGCTTCAGAGGGTCCAGCCCAGCCCTTGCTGGGGGAGGCTGCACAATTGAGGGGAAGCTGTAAAGGGAAGCAGGGCAGAAAGCCTCAGGAAAAGAGCATTTGCATGCTGTCACACTAGACCAGTTTGGATAGCAAGGGGTTAATCCCGCATGCTTTGGAGGTGCCTCCACTCAGCACTTTTGTAGTGTTTCCCTTTGGTGGTGGCAACAGAGAAAATGCTAGTGTAGGTAGGGCTTAGTTCAGCCGGTGGCATTTTAGCTGCTTGCTGTGTAACCTTGCTTACAGCAGGCCTGTGCCACACAGCACTTAAAATATCAGTCTGTCAGCACCTTGTCTACACAAGGAACGGTCGTGAGGAATAGACTCGACTGTTGAAGAAACAGGATTGAGGAGGTCAGGGAATTCCTCCTTCACAGAATCCCAAGTGATTTCTTTTCTTACTGTGTCCAATTTTCCCTCCCCTCCCTGTCTGACAGGTTTTTTTGGGGAAGAGTGACTAGTAAAGGAGGCATCTTTATCCCTTGGGCTGGATTAGTCGCTTTAGTCTCTGGTGGAGCAGCATTTCTCACTATAGTGGCTTCTGTTTCAGCAGATCGCTTATAGCCATTTCTAACAGAACAAACGTCTGCTTATTAAGAATTAATTAATCATCTTTTGAATAATTTCCCTTCATTTCTTTTTTCTCCTTTTCATCATTCTGCAGACACCTAAGAAGCAAGAAACTCTAGAAGAATCCTCTGATACGTTGTATGAGAATATCTAACAGGGAAGATTCCTGACCCTATGTGGACCAGACATCTTTCTGTATGGCAGAGCTACTCTTTTACATCCGTGATGAGATGCAGATACATGGAGAGATCCACACTGACTTCAGAGCGCAACCACGAGGGAGCTGTGAGCCCCTTGCCCCTTCTAAACTGCCCTTCATTAACAACAGAATGTATCTGTTAAAATCCCTCGGGGCTCAGTCTGCATTGATGCAACAAGGCTATTTTGCAGCAAAGTTGTTTGATGCAAAAGAAAAGCTGCTTTTGTCAAGCACTTATCTTGGGAATGGGCAATCTGTAAAGGTTTTTCTCACCTGCCTCGGCTGAAATACTTAACTGTTGATCCTCTGCAAATGGTAGGACAATCCAGAGACTTCCCTGCTTGCTGGTTTGATGTTCCGATCCTGACCTGCAGCCGCCCATCTGACCCTGTGCTTGTGGCTTTGCCGAAATGGCCAACAGGACTTCATGCATAGTTTAATCAGATCCAAGCATCGACCTGCCCATTTCCCTTTCTCAGGAACCCCAGAGCAGACAGGCTTTCTCATAATCTACTAATCCCATCAACTAGTCACAGATGCCTACTGCGACCTTACTGGGGCGACTCAAATCAGTGCCTCTAAGAAAATGGTTCCCCTTCAGCAATATCAGCAGTACACTGTGAGGACTGGATGCGCTGACCGAGATAAAGGTGGAGAAAAGGAACACAGAGAAATATCCCTTCCTAACAACCTGTTTTAGTGACAGTGCCCATTCCAGAACAAGAAAGAGGAACAAGGAGGTGGGAATGTGAGGAAACTCCCTTGCTGGGGCTGCATAAAGCCAGGCGGGTCTGGGGCCAGGCTCCAGCATGCAGAAGTCCAAGGGGAGCTCACCAGTTTCCTTTTCTTCTTGGCAGTGGGCATTGTTATCACTTGGGATTTTGAGCCTCTGTGGGAGCAGGCATGGTACCTCTGCCCCACCAAAACCAATCGGTTTGCCGTTGTTTCAGCTGGCTGTTGTAGAGATTATAAAGCTCCTTTACCCCCCCCCCCCCCCCCACCTTACATTATTGGCCAGGGAGATCAGTTCTGAAAGGAGGAAGGAGGAGGGAGGCCTTAGAAATGAATTTGCTATCCAAGTTCTTTCTCCCTTCTCAGCTGGAACTTGCCTACCATTTGTGCTGATGCATATTCTGGTTCTGATAGGAAAGAAGTTACATTAAATAGCTGTATAACATGATCAAACCAGCAGATCAAAAAGCTGAGGCTGTTTTATCTCATATTAAAAAACAACAACGAAATAACAACAAAACAAAACCAACCCAAAATAAGAATATGCAGCATAACTTGAGAGGAATTGTAGAAACCTCTTTAAAGAAGAAGATCAAATTAAAATTGAGCTCCAGGGTCATAGGACCCTCTCTAGCTGAAGATAATGTTGCTATGTATCAGAGATAGAGGCTGTGGAAAATGTCTCCGGGGCCTCCAACCTTCCTATACTATGTTTAAAGAGATAATCCGCTTATTGCTTTGCTCTTTTTATTAGAAAAGATTTCAAACATGCAATTTGGACTTTCTTTAACCACAGAAAAATGCTTTTTCTCTTCCCAGCACTGAGGAATTCATTTCAGAAAAGGCAATGAATGGACAGCATGTATTATTAGATCAGTTTATAATTTGTTAAGTGATCACAACAATTATAAATATTTTTGAAGTAAAAAGTTTTACAATTTACTAATATGACCAGGAAATATTTGTGTTCACAGAAGAATTTACAGAGGATTGTACAGGTATAATAATTTCTTTCCTTAACAAATTTGAAGAAATGATGAGATGAATTATAAATATGTTGCAGTATGGCAATAAAATATTTAGCAGATGCTGGTGGATTAGATTAAAAGTAAAAACTTTCAAAACAATGATGCTTAGGCTTTGTGTTTTGTTTTTTAAATTTTATTGATGTTAAAAATACTGAATGCTACTGGAAATTTCCTGGCAAGGATCTCTCTTTGCAGTGAGCTGATTTGTCTTGTGTTTCTGGTACCTTTTTAAGTAGTGTGTTTCTTACATTTATGCCTGAACAATTCTATATATTAAAAAAGCTGAAGCTGTTTAAAATAAACCATGAGAGAAAGAACAGTATTTGGAATGGAAAATGCTATTCTAGAACAGTCAGTGCTAAAGTACTGGAAGAATCATACCAGATTCTGATCAATAAAATGAAAAGTAAAAATTTCTAAGGAGCACTGGCAAATGTGAGGATTTGGGCTGTGTGCCAAACTTTGTCTAAATTGGGGTGGAGGTTGCTGTGTTGATTTCAATGGCTTTTAGGTTGGCCCTGTGAGGAAGGCTAAAAGGCTGCTGCATGAGAAAAAGGAAGTTTAAATCTATGAAGCCACAATCTCAAATCACTTCTTTAGTATTATGTGTCATGGGCAGCCACAGCCTGTGTGAGAGAGTAAAGCATAAAGCAGAAGGCTGTGAGAGCAGGGATGTTTTTAAATGGTATGGAGTTTTCCAGGGTAGTATGAGGAAATGCCTGAAGGCACAGGTAGGAGAGACTATGAAATATAATTTATATAATATTGGTATAGCTACTCTGTAGCCGAGATTTGTTCAGGGAAAAGGCAGTCACTTGATCTTTTTGTTGTCATTTGGTCTTTTTGTCTTACCTGGCTCTGTGGCCCATGAGAATAGGTGCAAAAAATGAGTGCTACTAGCAAGAGGAAATGTGTTCATTTCTAAGTGTTAGGCAATTGGGAAAAAAAAAAACGGAAATTATGGATCAGTTTCCCCAGCTTCACAAATGTGAGAAGCAGTGACTGGCTTATTGTGTTCACCCTATACATTTTGCTTTAAACTGAATGCTGAGAATGGATTCCTGTTTAAAACTGTGTCTCTAAGGGCCTCAGCTTCACTTGTTTCCCCCAGCATGGTGCTGTTATGCACAGAGCAGGCTCCCTGGTAGTGATACAACGTTTGATTCCCAGGTATTGAATTATCCTTTTCTATTGACAGGATTTCAGGGAAGTGGAGACCTGTTATTAAGGTAAGCAGTGGTGTGAGGTGGAAATGCACTGCCTACCTTCTTCTAAAGGAGGTGCTGTGTTAGGACTAGGATCCTTTGCCCTCTTCACCAGACATGAGCCTTTGGTCCTGAGAGTGCTTTGCTACAAAGGGTGTTGATGACACTGAGGCCATCTATTCCCTTTAAATGGACTCCCTTAAAATGCTTTACAGCAAATCCTTATTTGAGAAGGCAAAAGCCAGGGTGCACTTGAGAGGTTTGTTGATTTGATCTTTTTCTGCAGAGGACAAGCCTCTTGCATGGGTACTGGTTTGTCATATGAAACAGTGCAAACTATATTTTGCCTTTATCTGCGGACAAGACCTTACTGTGGTTGATAATGGCAGTGAAACATGTCCGAAGTGTTCTCCTTCATTACTTCTGACTTCTCTTCTTTAGCCTTCTCAGAGGTGTCTCTACTGCAAATAGTCTCTAAATACCCAGCTAGGGCTGGTTCTTTATCGAGGGGAGTGCTTGACTGAACAGCACCCAAGAAAAATGGTTACTATGGCTCTGATTTGCACTGCTGTCCTACCCAGCAGTGCCCTACATGTGTGCGAGTCTGGGCCAAGGGCAGGGGTCTCTTGTTCCAGCTGGGCTGAGTCTTGGGAAGACTTGGTGTTCTTTCAGCCCTTGGCCATGCCATATTATGACCCTGTGAGGGAAGGATTTAGGGAAAGCAGTGAGTGAAGCCACCAGATGGTGCCCTAGGTCCTCTCTGCTCTCTTTCCTGTCCCCTGTGTGCCCACATGCCCCTGCCAGCTTTCCTGGTAACCCTCAGACCACAGACTCCCCAGGGTGGGCAGCTACAGCCATGTAGAACATCCCCAGTCATGACTGTCTTCTACCTCTGGGGCTGGTGACTCTGACACTCCTCAAAGGTCTGCGCCATGGCCCAGGTGCCACCAGCACCTGTGAAGAGATGGGGACAGGACAAGCTCCCCTCTTTTGCATCCATGGCGTCTGGAGCAATTGCTCCATCAGATACCAATGTCTTGGCACAGGACTGCCCATGTGAGGGACAGGAGAGTGGCTGCTGACACCATCACTGGGTCAAGAGTGGCATCTGAAAGGCAAAATTAGCCACATGTTTGGGGTTGCTTGGAATTGCCACTACTTTCTTTAACCATTTGGAAGAATCTTATCTTGGGTTTGGGAAAATTTACTGTGTGTCTGTGATGAAAAAAATCCTTGGCACCAAATGCCGCTTCTCTTCTTTACTATGTCAGGAAACTGATGAAGGCTCAGATATTGCTGTGTTTTGGGATTCTGTGGTGGTCAAGATGTGCAATGCACAGTGAATTATCATTGAGAGTTTATAAAGAAAAAAGGAACAGCTCAGAGAGCACCAGCGATCTCCAAAAGAAGAATGAGAACCTTAAGTTTCTTCTCTTGCTTGATTCTTGGGCAAGCCAGGCTTCATTTACTGTGAGGGATGAAATGTATTTCTTTCTTAATGATAAAGTAGAAATGCAGATTACTATTAGTAACTAGTATGTCACTAGGTCCTTCACTATTAATAACTAGGCCTGTAAACTGCTGGAATGTGTTGCAAGCTGTGAATCTTCAATGTTCACAGCATCTGTGCATCACAGAGCTGCCACTATGCAGCTGCCTGGGGACAAAGTGTGATGGTGCCCTGACAGTACCAGGCAGGTTCCTGTGGGAAGTGACACAGAGAAGCTGCTTCTCAAGGAAGGACTGTTTCAGCAGGAGGGAAGGGTTCCTGTTCCAGGAAGAAATCTTTCTCGCTAGCTGACGAACCTCTCCTAGAGCTCCTCTTTTCCTTCAGCTTTTTGAAATATGTGGGTTGTGTTGTATCACTCTGGGCCACATGAAGATTTGGATATACAGATGGTAGGGCCAGGCAGGTCAGCCACCCTGCTTTAAAGAGTTAGAACGTAATTATCCAAATTGGAACAGGGTGAACATGAAAAAGCTAACATATGGGCTTCTTCAAAACGTTATGTCTTTTAATAACCTGTCAGGGCCTCTGCTTTCTATCCTATCTGAAAGATTCATCTGCCTACAATTTTGTGCAATGATATCTGAGCACTTCCATGAGTAATAATTGTATCCAAAATACCTGTGACACAGTGAGCTTCCCTCCCTTATGAGAGAATTAGTGCTGTAATGCCCGTAATGGTGCTTTTGGCACTGACATGTACTATTAAAATCAGAGGTTTCAAAAGTTCTTGCAAGGCTCAGTATGTCATTTCAGCTTCATGCATGGAAAAAATGGAGACTCAGGAACTTAAATGACATTTCCAAGACTACAGAGCATCAGAGGTGAAGTTTGGAACAGAATTCAGGTTTCCGTGTTCTTAATTCTATCAAGTTGTCCAGGAAGAAGCCAGTAGCTGGCTATGTAAGAGCTGCTGAGCTACTTATAGTTTAGGGAAAAATAAAGTTTCTTCCTGATGGGTTCTGTTGCACTTTGCTTTTCATTTTTGATTTCTCATGCAGGTGTCAATCAGACCTGCATCTGCCTAGTTGAGGCAGCAAAGCTGCAGAAGTTACTCCCCTCTTTTACAGAGGCATCCATCATTTTGACAATAAGGAAAGCTCATCAGATCCAAATTACCAGAGAAAGCCCAAATACGTATGCCGTAATTCTCCAAATACATGTTTACAGAGGGAATGTGCTGAGTTGTTGCTCATCCAACTCCATGAAGTCTTTCTGATTGCTGAAGAAGTTCCCGAGCTCCTGGAAAGCAAATTACTGCAGTTGAGTTGCAAAGGCTCTCTCCACTCCCAAGGAAGGAAGCAGGGAAGTCCCTACCGTCATAACAATTAGATGCTGGAGAAGGTGTGAGGAGAGGTGATAATGCTGATAATTAGGTGAATGGAAATGCTCGCCATTCTTTTTAATGTTTAAAGGAAGCCACAGTTTTGAACTGATGTAATTCCTGCTCAGTTGGGTTATTCATTCAAGCAGTGCAGTGCAATGCTGTGCTGGCACATTGGGGAGAGAAAGCAAAACTTCATCATGGCTCTCTTGGGATTTCCGTACACTTTCAGACTCATTTAGGTAAAGGCAGGGTGTGAATCTGAAGTGTGCAGCTCTTCCAGCATGGCCCTCTGTACAGACTGGCCCTTTGCTAAGGAATGTGCAGAACGCAGATGGGGGTTCTGAAGGAGCCACTTTAATAGAAGGAATCGTAACTGTTCTCCCCGTAAGATTTAAGATCTTGCTGTCCACAAAAATCAGGTTAGCTATTTTGGGTTCTTGCAGAACTAAAATGAATGCAGCATCTCTCATTTCCAGTCATGATAAGTCACTAGATATCAATTCTTAATTGCTTGATTAATCTTGAATTTTCAGAGCTGACAGTGCCTGTCTGAGCACTTAGACAAGAGCTACATTTAAAAGAAAGGAGAAAATGCTTCTTTTTTCTAATTTTATCCTTTTCTTTAAGCATGGTCTGCAAGGTAAGAGCATGAAATTACAGAGATTTGTAACATGTTGTCCTGAGAAAGATGGACCATTAAGCAGAGTGCAAATGTGCAAGGTTTGTGATAAGCTAGGGGGGTTGATGAATTAATTTTAGCATATGCTTCAGCATTTCCTTACAAGATTATGTCAAATATTAGGACACTTACATTTGCTGTATATTTGTGTGTGTTAGGCCATGTTTTTCATTTACACAAATAAGCAGAAAGTTTTCCTTCATGATGATCATGACATTTCTATGTAGAGAAAGACAATTTAAGGTCAACACTTATGGAGGACTATACCTTCATGTGCTTTGTGTATGGATGAACTGATAATGATCACTGCACATGCCTCCCTAAAGGGTGGTGTTAAAAAAATATAGACCAAATTAAAACCAAAAGACATTCAGTCTCCCT